ATGATTACCCGACATGGCAACAGATAATGTATGCAGACTAGATTCCAAGTATTGTAGTTCATTCATGAAAAACATGTTAATGGAATACATCGTAACTAGGCAACCAAGAAAGAAACATGCATTCAATGTGAATATGTTTGTTAACCGGTCTTATAATAAAATTGATTACATCAAGAAAGTTTTCTGCGGTCAGTATAAAGGCCTACCCATGCTCACAATACTTGATTTTAAATGATCTATGAACTGCTCTTGGTCAAACTCTTGGGAAGGGGACAAAATACAAACCCTTTTTTGAAACTGATGATCTTTGTTTATTCCTAAAAAAATCAATTATTGATTATGTAGACAACTATTTCGTTATCACAGAACTTTAGTTTATTGATTGGATAATAATTTGCCCATTTATATCTACTACGCTAAATACACAGTATCATATCAGTTGAATCGACTAATACTAATAGCCGCCATGATACACGCTTAACAATCATTAAATTGCTATCTAAGTATATTAAAGGAAACTTTACCCCGAAGCATAATTGCATAGGTATTCTAAAAAAATGAGATGTATTCATGCCCTTCGATGTACAATTTTCGTTATAAAAATGTACAAGAGATATATTAATGAAGATATTATTGGCATGATGGAATGCCTTTTAGCATAGCATAGACTCAGCCATCTACTTGAAAATATGACGTATCAGGTGAGGTTGTAGTTGTATCATGCACCAGACTTTCGTTGGAAAGACTTTTCCAAAAACAAAACAAAAATTCAATGAGAAAAAAAAATCATAGCTGAGAAGATTCATTTAAAAATACTAGAATGGAGCAGCTGACAAATCATTTTCATGATTGAGAAACCTGCATTCTAGGAGAGCAGCAATTATTTATGCAATTTGCGTTCTGGCAATTGTGGTACCAAGGATAATAGCAGGTGAATGAAATGGTTTAAAACTGAGAACCACTATCCATGGTCCAGTGACATAGCCGCCGTTATGCCTCAGTCACACCTTTGCGTATGATGCTGCGTATTGCTGCGCTGTTCCGGGTATATCAATTCGCAGCCGTTCCCAGCGATACGTGGCAAACTTGAAGGTAGCAGTCACACTATTGCGTATCTAGCTCGTAGGTAGCTCGTATGCCTCTCGTACTAAGACTGCCTACGGTTGCCTATGACCACGCTATAGCTCGCTGTTGCTCATAGCAGTACGATTCAATACGCAGTTTGCTCGCCACGTTGCGTATGTAACTGGTTCTTTGCTCGTTTGCTGCTCGCTAGTCGCTCGCACCAGTACGTCTCGTTGCGTCTCACTGCGTGTTCGCTCGCTTTAGCTCGTCTGTTGTTCGTACTGCTGCGTGCCAGCTCGCTCTACAGCGTACCAGCTCGCTTGGGCTGCGACGGCGTATAAATAAAAGTCATTTTGCGGGCTTCTGACGAGTCTACATCTACAAGAAAAATCAATCAAATGAAAAAAAATGGCCCGGGAGCAGAGCTCTGCCTTGCAAAAGATTAAGCTTTGGTTCAGCTGGAAGAAGCAGAGACGAATTATGTTTATTTATTAACGTTATGTAGCGCAGCGACGGTGGTTGGTGCTAGGTTGGTGCTAGGCAACTAATCGCAGTAAGAGAGAGCGAAAGCGAACGGCGTACGAGCTAGACTCGCAGCGTAGCGAGCGACAATTGCAATAGTTCTTGCTGCTGCGGGTGGTAGGCGAGCAACAGCGCAACAATACGCGCAATCATGCGAACGACAACGAGCTCTTGCGAGGTAAATCGTGCAGGGAACGCAGCTATAGGCAGTGACACGCGCTCCAAAGAAAAGAGGTGCGTATGGTTGCGTATACTTGCGCTAAGCCACTCGTTGTTGCTCGCATTCACTGGTTGCCACTCGTATCCGCTCGTAGGTGATAAGACCTTGCGTTTGCTTGCGATAGTTTAGAAAATTTTAAAACTAGCGAGCGGCAAACGCATGCCTTTGCGCTAGTCTGCGTAATGAGTACGCAGTGAGCACGTTTCATTGCGCTTTATTGGGTATGACTGCCTATGTCTGCGTTCGGGCAATACGCAGCAATACGCAAGCCCAATACGCAAAGGTGTGACTGAGGCATTAGACATGACGCATCTACTTGTACGCAGACATCGTTAACAAATCAAAAATCAAAAATCCTGTAAATCTTGTGTGTGTCTCTTTAAACATACGCGAAAAAAATACCGACCAATTTCTGTTTATTGCCGTCAAATTTGATGTATTATGCATGATCACTGCGGTTTAGTTTTTGGTCAATATATTACAAAGTATTGATGTATTTGTACTGCATTTCATAATACCGAATCACTCGTGTAAATCATTGTATGAATACATGCGTCGAAGAGCGTGCTTGGGAAGATGGGTTGCGTGCGATCGGTTCGGGTGTGCGCTCGTGCGAGGGTCGTTGTGTGTTTACAGAGGATTTGTCATTCCCTTTCTGGCGGGAACACAACAATAGGACAATTACAAAACCTGTCATTCTTTTCAATTTGGTTCGTATGCATATCGCACTTTTTGGTTTAATCAACCCTAGAGGCTGTTCACACCGGCAGAGATAGCGCGCGCTAGACCGCGCTATCTCTGCGTTGTGGAAGGTACAACGTCGTTTCGGTCCGCCCAACAGCGAGCCATGGCGAGCCAAAACGGCGTGCCACTGGAGCACATCTTGGGGATGGTCCACGAGAGAGAGCGCGGTCTAGCGCGCGCTAGAAAAAATGGGGTGCTACAATAGTCCGCGCTATCTCATTGCGGTGTGAACAGCCTCCTAGACAGTTTCAATATAATGTTATCTTTATGCATCATTTTGAAATGTGCTGATGCTATAATTCTTGCTCCGAACATGACTTATTTAGGAGAGCTACTTTCCAACCCTTTTCTTGTCGCGGCGTCCTTTAGAGATATAAGGGACTTTTAGATTTGCACGTCGACAGCTTTGACTGCAACGTGTGACGTCATTTTAAGGCACTGCGCATGCGTTACGTCGTCTCAGTCGGCGATCGAGAAATGCGTCAACCTTGATTTTCCAAATCTAGTACATTTATATAGCGCCTTTACATGCTCAATGTACTAGTATGCCGCGTGCGCATAAATTATACAGTTCCTCAGGTAGACAAAGGAACATCCCTTCCCTGCTATTATGTAAAAATGTGTAGAACAGGTGTCACATGCATGTTCACCTGTTAAACACATTTTTACATAATAGCAGTGAAGGGATGTTCTTTTGTTGAGGGTAGAATGAGGAACTGTATATTTTGTCCTCTTTCTTTGTCCGTGATGTTCTTAGTGTTACTTCCCCCATGCATTTTTATCGTCAAGTGCAATTTAAAACATTTCTAATTGTAGTCAACATGGGCAGTTAAGTACGTTGACACGTATGGTCAGTCGGTGTTCGTCGTGTTCTCGTCCACTCAATCTAAAAGTCCCTATAAATGATTTCGCGTCACCCTAATCACGATTAGTACACACGAACGGACTCATATTGCCCCTAAAATTTGCGATTGAGTGGAGCGAGCCATACAAAACAATGACATCTCTAATATATTAAAACGTTATTGGTAAACATATACACTAGATAAGTATGATGTTATGTATGTGGAAGACATTCTGGAACCTCGTTGACTTCTAAATTTTTATATTCGGTATTTATTGCCTAAAATCATACCGTTTCTAAATGTTGCGAAGGAGCAAAAAAAGAGACACTGCATTGTCTTTAAAATGTTATTTCTTCACGAGAATACTTAGCATTCTTATATATTTTGTTTTCATGAGAATGACGTTCATTTCACAATGGATCCAACAACAAATCTGTAATTCATTTCTTTCGCGGTACCCCTAGATACGTCTAGTGAGACCCAGAAGTGAGATTTAAAGCTAATATTTTATATGCAATAAGACATGAACTTAAATTACCCTTGAGTTAATCTTTAGAAAGTCCAAATACCTCCATTTAGTCTCATTTGACAACCCCCCCCCTATCGTCAGAGTCCAGCAGCCTATAAAAATGTTAGCCTATAGACTTTTACCCCCCCAAAATCGTTAAAAATTCATTTTTTGTTTAAACGAAAAGCATATCCACCTCGACGTCCGTTATCACTAGCTCTTTCATTGGAACCCTCATGTCCCATTGACTTTTGAAAGTTTACCCACCGTAATTTGGTCAAAATAGGTCGCCAGCTCGCCATTGCCTACATAACATATGTGCAACAAGTCGAACTTTGGACGTAATTTGCCACTCGTAATGTATAAATCAAGCACACGAAGGAAAACAAGCATGAATTATCATAGATCAGTTCTGATTTGTTCATTATGTCCATTTAAGCCGACCCCCCCCCCACCGTAATTTGTCCATTTAGTATAGGCAAGCATTTTGCCGAGGTAAGAAAAAACATGAATATTCATGAACACCATGGACTATTCGATTATTAACAAACTCCCCGACTTTCAGTCAAGTATTTCATTGTATTATGTAGTTTGGTATGTTTGTTTTACTAATTGTTAAATTATCAGATACCAATGATAGTTTAAAGATATGGAAAAGGTTTTTGTATTTTATATTTAGCAAAGCAATCCCACATACAAAATGACTATCAAGTGTCGTCTGCTCCGCCGATTGCCGTCTGTTATATACGTTCAAGGCACATTAAAATCTGTGGACTGTGACGTAGACAGTTTACTCGTCATTCATGTCATTGTAGATTGATGAATAGCCATGCATCTGTCATTTATTATTCTTTAATTGTTGACACACATACAATTACCACACACATGAACACTCTCACTTCCCCTTTCCAACACACCGTTTTCGCACACGCGGTTCACACATCATACCCAATGGCATATACACCCTGCAACATAGTGAAACATTCTAGTTTGATAGTGACGGCGAACCAGATACGTTTGTGCTGGCGAAAATGAAACAACCGGAGCAATATGCTAAACTAACACCCTCGCTCTCTATCTCCTCCATCCTTTCTAGTGTCAACATGACTTCACATCTGACGTCTTTTCTACTCTCGATATCGACGTTGCCGACGGACTCGACGACGCCGCGTTTCTCCGTGCTAGTCCCTTATTCCTCTTCGGAGCGTACGAGATGGTGGCGGTTTGCCAGGCCGGTCATGGCGGCACAGATCTCACTGAAAATGTGGTGATGGCGTCACTCAAGATGGCGGCACCTGATTCGTCTAACTTGACCTTGACTGAGAATGACCTCGAAGTAATCCTGGAATCGATCCATGACAACTATGCTGAGTCAACGAACGCAAATGTGAGGGGCATTTAATGTTGGCATAGGTTTTTTATAATACCAATATTGACTGGTGGAGTTTGAAATATAACATTATTTTTGTTGTATAAAGGTGCTGTGTGTTTGCTTGAATATATATATATATATATGTGTGTGTGTGCATGAGGTATGGAGAGACGTGCGTCTTTTGTTTTGTGTGTGTGTTTTGATGTTGTTGTTATTTTTTCATTTTTGTATTGTTTAATCTCTATCTTTAGGGGTAGAATTATGTTTTGTTTTTTTAATATTGTAACCATTTTATCAATCATGAACATTCCATGAACTATAACAGAATCATCAAATAATTGCGACCCCTCTCGTTTTATTGTATTTTTAATAGTGCTTTAGCGTTGAATCTGTCTTCGACGAAACCGTGGATGACCACGAAACAGGGGCTGACGATGTCGAGCTCCAGTACGCGGCGCAGGCCGTGGTCGCCGGTCTGCTACAAGGGCATTGCATAGGAGAACCCACTCTGCCCTCGACCACGGACTTCACCGAGGCAATATTCGAGACGTATGCGACGTCGGGCGTCATTCCGGAAGATGGTGAGCATAAGAGAATACGACGATCGTAGGACGTTCGTAGAGACTGTCACGATATCAACCCACGGGGATCTTAAAACCTATCGTGTTTCCTGTTTTAAAATAATTCCGTATATTGTAATAATCAAGCAATGGTTCTGTTCGTACCTTTCCAGAATTAATGCTCGATGTTATTGAATTTGCTTACAAAATTATAAGGTCGATTTCTCGGAATAATTAAGTTTTCTTTGATGAATATCGCATGTTTCTTGGGCTTGGGAGGGGGGGGGGGGGGGAGGTTAAATCAGTCAGTTAAATGTCCATTGCTTGTTTGTGTAGTGGAACAGCGAACTTGAAACGTAAAAGTAGGGAAAATCCATTGACGATCGAATTTGCAAAATAATTTGTACAGATTTTTTGAAAATTCCCCGGTTGTTATAATAAATATGACAATTTGCCTTTCTCCGTCTCTCCCTCTATCTCTCTCTTTATAACGCAACGCAGAGTTCGCACACATGCTGATGGAGCTTGGAATCGGTGGGGACCACGACCACGACCACGACCACGAACACAACCGTAGGAGGAGGGATGTCATGGCAACACGTTTGAAGGGGCGGGGCATAGAAAAGCGAGCTACAGACGGCCACGGCCACGACCAAGACCACGACCACGACCACGACCACGAACACACCCGTAGGAGGAGGGATGTCATGGGAACACGCTCGAATGGGCGGGGCATAGAAAAGCGAGCTACAGACGACCACGGCCACGACCAAGACCACGACCACGACCATGACCACGACCAGGACCAGGAACACACCCGAAGGAGGAGGGATGTCATGGGAACACGCTCGAGTGGGCGAGGCATAGAAAGGCGAGCTACAGACGGCCATGGCCACGACAAAGACCACGAACACGACCACGACCATGGCCATGACCCCGACCACGGACACACCCGTAGGAGGAGGAATGTCATGGCAACACGCTCGAAGGGGCAGGGCATAGGGAAGCGAGCTACAGACGGCGACGGCCACGACCAAGACCACGACCACGACCACGATCACGAACACACCCGTGGAAGGAAGGATGTCATGGCAACACGCTCGAAGGGGCAGGGCTTAGAGAAGCGAGATACAGACGGCCACGGCCACGACCAAAACCACGACCACGACCACGACCACGAACACGAACACACCCGTAGGAGGAGGGATGTCATGGCAACACGCTCGAAGGGGCTGGGCATAGAGAAGCGAGCTACAGACGGCCACGGCCACGACCAAGACCAAGACCACGACCACGACCACGACCACGAACACACCCGTAGGAGGAGGGATGTCATGGCAACACGCTCGAAGGGGCGGGGCGTAGAGAAGCGAGCTACAGACGGCCACGGTCACGACCAAGACCACGACCACGACCACGATCACGAACACACCCGTAGGAGGAGGGATGTCATGGCAACACGCTTGAAGGGGCGGGGCATAGAGAAGCGATCTACAGACGGCCACGGCCACGACCAAGACCACGACCATGAACACGACCATGACCACGAACACACCCGTAGGAGGAGAGATGTCATGGCAACACGCTCGAAGGGGCGGGGCATAGAGAAGCGAGCTACAGTATTGGCTGATGATCACGACCACGCCAATCATAGCCATTCACACGTTGCGAATGTTACAACGGTAAGGAGTATTGACATAATGTGTTATGTACATAGCTAACGATGCGTCAATAATTTGACGCAGAACTGCGTGAACGACTCTTTGACTAACAAAACGAGAGTGGAATGGTAGCGAAGAGACACATGTCATATTCAAGGGCTGTGTTTCATAAAACTTGTTACGAACAACAAATGCTAAATTCTTCTGACAAAGTTGCTCTCAGCGGATCAAAAGCCACGATTTCAGTAGCTTGTGATTGTAACTTGTTATTGATAACAAGTTTTATGAAACAGGACCCTGGTGCATAAACCCATTGCGTCCATGGGACTAATTCGAGAGTGAAAAAGGAGGCAACATGGTTGTTTGACCGTATATCATTTGTCGATCAGCTGGCGTTCTTTTCTCAACAGTTGAACGTACTGTCCGGTTTAAGGAGTCTATAGGTTAAAATTCCATGGGGTGTTTCACAAAGATTGTAAGTCGAACTTGAAACTAAATTGGACTTAAATACTACGGAGAGCCATTTGTAGCCTTATAATGAAAAATATTCAAAAAGAGTATTTCAGACTTTCCATAACTTCCACATGAAGAACATGAAATCTCCAAAAATAGCAGAAAATATAAATGATTTTAATCTACATTTTATGCCTTTAAAGATAATTTGTAGAAAATATTTTCAATAATTCTCAAAGCTTTCCATTATTGTTAAGTCCAACTTCGGATCTTTGTGAAACACCCCCATGTATCTAATCGTGTTTTTCATGTGCGACGGAATCAGCGTAAAATGATCCAAGTCTTTGGTGTCTTTATGATCATGCACCCGATTATTCAAAATGTTTTTTTCTAACATCAGGCCTATTCATTTGTTCGACAAACGTTCATGAATTCACCTGCATCATTAAAGATTACGTCACCCACAATTATGAAGTCTACGCAAAAGTATTGCTGTTAGACTACTATATACTCTAAAGCCCACCGCACACCAAACGACCCGACTACGATCTGATTTTGGAAGAAATTGCATTAGCATTTGATACAAACATTCAAACATGTGACATCTTTAATGACCAAGCATCTCAACAGTCATATGATGAAGAAAAATCAAGAAAAATTAAGAAAAATCAAGATTTCATATTTTAATGCTTCATTAGAAGAGGGAAAGCTCAATCGGCTCATCAGCGAAGTACATGTAGAATGTTGTTCCCAAACCGTAACAGATCAGAGTAATAACGGATTCCCCCTCTTACTTTATGCCTCTCTCTTTCGCTCTTGTCTCTAGACCTGCTTTTCGAGTGAAGAACTTCTCGACATATACGGTATTGACCATGAAGCTGGAATCACCGAAAAACAGTTCAACGAACTTTCTCCGTCACTGGTGCAACAAATCTTGAGTGGAGCATGCGAAATTACAACCACTGAGCCATCGGAAATCTCCAAAGCAAAAAGTGAGTAATAATATTTTGATTTAATGTAACTGTGTAGATATTCCGTTGATATATCACCAGCCTTGCTTTTCCTAATGAATGTGAAACACTTCTTTCACTTTCTCGTTTGTTATTCACCAATGCCTCCCATGTTTGGGGTTCATTGAGGTAGTAATAATATTTTGATTTTGTGTAACTGATTAGTGATTATGTTGATGTATCACCAGCTATTTTTGTCTTGATGAATGTAATAAACTTCTTTCATTGTCTTGCTCGTTATGACTCCCGCCTACTATTTTGGGGTGCGTCATTGAACGATCCCTCTCTTGTGCAGTTTTACCGAGTGATCGTTTCTCCAAACATAAAGCTTGTTATAAATACCAAGATAAAAAATATGTATAAGCTATTGAAATTGTTGCGTTTTAATATTTGGGTGAGTGAAAAAATTTGTATACAAATTTAAACAATATTTTTTTTGAAACAGAGACCAGATTTCCTCAGTATAAAGATTTTTAAATTCAACTAAATTGTTGATTAATATATTGTATTTATCTATTTACGGTGAAATTCACGAAATGTATAATGAAAACTCAACATTAGACTACTTAAATAAATATTTGATGGAATCTGTTGTTTCATAAATAGATTGAAAAACACATACATAAATTATTAACCGATCCTTTACTTTTTTGTAATATTTGATAGAACCTGTAGTTTAATAAATAGATTTGGATTAAAAATATATGAATAAATAATCAATCGATTTTGTATTCTCTTCTTATGTCTCTTCTTTTTAAGTGTGGGGATACGGCACTGTAGCAGTTTTCATCATCAGCCTGTCTGCGGTGCTCGGTGGGTTGTTCGTCCCGTGTATGTCAGAGGGTGTCTATGACAAGACCATACAAACAATGATAGCTTTAGCTGTGGCTACTCTGACTGGTGATGCTGTCTTACATCTTTTACCACAGGTAAGCAGTGGGCAGTTTATCCCTAAAAGGGATTTCACCACTCCTTTTTTTTTTATTGAGCCCTTTTTCATGCTGACTGGTGATGCTGTCTTACATCTTTTACCACAGGTAAGCAATGGGCAGTTTATCCCTAAAGAGGATTTCACCACTCTTTCTCCATTTTACTTGTGCCCTTTTCTATGCTGACTGGTGATGCTGTCTAACATCTTTGAACCAGAGGTTAGCGATGGGCATTTATATCACGAGAAGGGAATTTTACCATTCTTTTTTTTTTCTTGAGCCCTTTTGTATGCTGACTGGTAATGCTTTTGATGGAAATGATTGTAAGAATAAAATATAACGACGATATATATATATATATATATTGTTCAATGTTATGTACAGTAAAATTATCAACTAAATTACTCCTACCCAGGCAAGTTTTGTAACTTTTTTAGCGTCTGAAAAACTGATTTGTCCAGATATATGTTTCTTGAGAATGTGACATATCAAAGGCCTTTATCTAACCAGTCCACCTTTCAAAAAAAAAAACAAGGGGTATGAATAAGTTAGTTGTATGTAATTTGTCCCATTATGTGTATTAGATTGTATTTCTTGAAAACCAACCAGTGGAAATCGAATTTCCTGATTACGGCCAATAAATCATATACTTATACATAGAATCGTTTCTTTCTCAATCTGTTAAAGGCTGTGGGTCTTCACTCTCACGACAGCAGCGGCCACAGCGCTCATACGCCTACGAGCCCGGAGATGGCGTATGTCTGGAAGTGTCTTGTCGTCCAGATGGCCATCTACGTCTTTTTCGTCTTCGAGCAGCTGACGAGTTTCACGAAGGTAGGCCGCCATTTTAAATCATGTGAATTCCAGAAGGCGCGATAGCCCAGCTGGTAGAGCAGTGGTCTCGTAATACGGTGACCCGGGTTCCGCGAAACCGATGTGATGCGCTATAGTGCCCTTTGGTAAGGCATTATACGTACTCACTTTGTGTGTGTGTTTATATTTCTATAGTACCAAGAGTTACGCTATGCATAGCGCGCTGCTAAGTTGTGCTACGTAGGTTTCCTTATATGACGCAACAATGCGCTGTTCCCAGTGCGCGTAATGTAGGTTAAGGCTGGCACGTGTGGTGTGTGTAACGTTAAGGCATTGTAGCAGGTGGGCTTGGCTTGTATTGGGAGGTGGAAGGGGGGGGGGGGTGGTGCCGCTGGTTGTACTCGTTAAATACAATGCGAATCAAAAAATCCACATATTAAAGGGTGACTCTTATCATCTGCAGGTCTCGTCACCCTCCCTTTAACAACAAAATATCAGCACAGTGTATTAAGCTTAATTTGCAATTAAAACTTGTGTGGCAATTGTTTAGATTCATGCACTTGTTATATTAAACAATTGTTTATTTTCTATTTTTTGTTTTTTTGTTGTTTTCTTTTCTTTTTTCATTTTAAATTTCGACGAGGGTGGGTGATGCTGGGAGGTAGAGACATCCCTATCTGATTTTGTTTAGTGCCCATGCTAAGTTTTATTGGCACTAGTCTCCGTCGAAATACTGTTTTGCGGTAAACTGAATTTACACTTTTGATTTCAAATGGACTAAAAATAAATCGAAATTGCCCGAGAAAACATTACTTATATAAATACTAATATCATTATCATTATTTCTATGTCTGATATTTCTATTATTGTTATCTTCATCCTCATCGTCATCATTATCAAGTTATCACGAGTCTGACTTTTGTGTGACGTATGTTACCAACCAGTTTTGTATGAATTAAATCATACATGTAGGCCTACCTATTAGTCTAAATAATGATCAGATATTATCATCTATATTATCGAATGGTTACAATTTGATTTCAAATCATTTTATTTACTTTTGACAGTGTGGTCACTACCACAACGATACACTTTCCGCGGATGTGGAGATGACAGACAACGGGCACCAGGGGCGTTCCTACGGTTCCATGAAGCGAGGATCGTTTGCTAATGGAAACAATAAAGTATCTCACTCAGAATCGAAGAGCGAACTAGTAAGCTTCATTTTACCTCTTCTCTTTGCTTCTTGAATGTATATACATGTTTGCAAGTGCATTAGTGAATATGCACTGCACGCATGGTAAGTCACAGTAGGATAATGAACGAGACTTATCGAGTTCATTGTTCGTCTCATTGTGACTTAACCAAGTGCAGTGCATAATACTAATGCACAAGCTAAAGACATGTATTTGTTTTATAAGATGAGTATAAAGTCGAGAAATTGACGGTTGTTATCATGATTATGAATTATTCTAAACTTGTATCATTAACGGAGGACATCTATTTTCCTCAAAAATCGACCGTCTTCCGAGTACCTCTGCAGTCACACCGAAAAAAATACCAGACTCCCGTCCGATTAATTCTAAACCAATCTGACTATTTATTTGCCATTCCTTCTAATGACATGTTTACATTGGTATGTTGTCGGTCCCGAGCAGGTTTTGCCGGGGGGGGGGGGGGTGATTGTCCAGTGGGTAATTGTCGTGATACGGTATTTTGTAGCTCCATATAGTAACGATGTGGTTTTTCGTAAGATACCAACGTCTATCGTATCATTTTTTTCTCATTCATAGACAGCTAATGAGGCAAAGGCATTTGAAGCTGAACTACCACCCTCAACCGAAGATACTGATTGCTGCGTAAGGGGTAAGTTTTTGATTACGTCACACTACGGCCTCTCCGTTGCATACGATGCGTCATTTTCCTGACGCTCGACTGCGTCAACGACTGGGTCAATGACTGACTCTCATGTAAGAATGATATCAGCTCGATCGCAACCATTTTCTTAAAATAAAGTCGGGGTTAATGTTATAACCCTAATGCATAGCTGCAAAAAAAAAATCATAATTGGATCACGAAATACGCCATTGTCATGTTTTCAAATTCCAAAAGGTGACACACAAGACTATTGACGGTTCCATAGATTAATTTTTCAAAATTAAATATGACCGTGTCTACCGTACAAGAGAAGTATGCAACGGAACAAATTTGCTTTCAATGACGGACGTATGCACTAATTGCTTCTATATAGTCTTGATTATAGCGCGGGTATTGACGCAATGGAAATGACACATTGTTTCCAACAGGGATTTGAAAGATTGGGTTAACTGAAACAGCTTAAGCCTGATCGATGTTTCTGGGCCCAGTTTTATCGAATCCATTATCAATGGCAATTTACAACAACCGTTCTAAGCTAGTGATATCCTTGCATTTAATTTGTCGTGTGTAAAGTTGTCACAGAACTTTTGCGTGGGGCATCAGCACGAAATCACATGAGCTTTTACATTGCGTGCTATTCAAACATGTGAAGGCAATATGCGCTAGGGATGTTTTCGCGCTGTTCAATTTCCATTCACTTGTTATATGATATCACCGTCACATGGCGCATGGCAGACGGCGCGCCAGTCAGTGACGCATTGCTACGTCAGCAAATAGACACCTCGTGTGCAATAGATAAGAAAACATTAAACTAAAGTATCTAATACATTTATAACCTTTAATGCGTAAACTATTCCACGATCCTGTTTAGGGTTATAGCGATACTTGTTATGTGTTTAACAAATCAAAGCCTTAATATTTCACATTATTAGTCCTGATAATACTGGTAGTTCGACTGTGCAATAGATAAGAAAACATTAAACTAAAGTATCTTATACATTTATAACCTTTAATGCGTAAACTATTCCACGATCCTGTTTAGGGTTATAGCGATACTTGTTATGTGTTTAACAAATCAAAGCCTTAATAGTTCACATTATTAGTCCTGATAATACTGGTAGTTCGACTGTTCACTGACACTATAAGGTAGTTTAGGTATCCTTCTTGAATAGATGGGTATACTTTTCATCATTCATCTCTCCATACCTTGTGTTTCAATTGAATATTATTGAGTTGTATAACTATGAGCCTACTATTTTTAGTCCGTGTTTAATTATCGTTTTTTTCGACTGTTTATGATTCTTTTTCCTTCTTCTTTAATACAAGGTTGCAATCCAGTAGCAATGATGATCATCTTGGGCGACTCGCTGCATAACTTCGGTGACGGTTTAGCCATAGGGGCGGCTTTCTCACTGAGCATCGCTGCCGGACTCTCAACTAGTATAGCTGTCCTCTGCCACGAGATCCCGCACGAACTAGGTAACGAACCTCGTCTACCACCGATGATAGTGATGATGGTGGTGATGATGGTGGTGATGGTTACGGTGATGATGAAGATTATAATGATGATAAATAGTGCTAAAAATGAGGTTGATGATGATGGTGGTTGCGATGATGGTGATGACGGGATGAGGAGGAAAAAGAAAGGAAAAGGAGGATATGGTGATGATGATGAAAAAGTGCGATTGAGATGATGACAATGGTGAAATAATGCTTTAAATGGTGTTGTTGATGATAGTGGTAGTAAGAGGAGAAGGTTACACCCTTAGTGTCACCAGTGGTCTTCCTAAAACTGTCCTCGGCCACGAACTCCCGCACGAACTAAGTATTCATGACCGTGTTGATGATGGTGGTGGAGATGATGTTGATGATGCTGATGTTGGTGGCTGTGCATGGCGAGTGATGATGAAGGAGAAGATGGTGGTGGTGGTGGTGGTGGTGGTGGTGGTGGTGATAATGATGATTATGATGATGATGGTGATGAAGACGATTTTGATAATGATAATTACAATGATGATGATGATGATGATGACGATGGTTATAATGATGATGATGAGGGTGTTGACAATTTCGATAGTAAGGATGGCAGCTAAAATGAGGTTGATAATGTGATTTTAATGATGATAATGATGGCGATTTTGATGATGACCATGGCGATCATAATGTTGATGATGATTATGATGATAGTGGTTGTGGTGATGGTCTTAAAGGAGCCGCATTTATACTCGGCTTCGCCGCTGGACTTAACAAGTATATAACTGTTCTCGATCTGGCCCGAACTCTCTCAAAAACTAGGTATATAAGCCTCGTTTTCCAATGAAGAAGAGGGTGATGATAATGATGATGATGATGATGATGATGACTGTGATGATGATGACGATGATGATGATGTTCATTGTGAAGGAGAAGACGATGGTGATGATGAAATTATAATGGCAAAGGGGCTGGTAATGATTGTGATGGTTAAGAAAATTATGATAATAAGGACAACAGCTCAAATGATAATGTGAAAAATGGTGGTGGTGGTGGTGGTGGTGACGATGATGATGGTGATGAAAAATGGATGAAAATTGTCATGATGGGAAGGAGGAGAAGGATCCAGATGATAAGTGTAATTCAGATGATGGTGAAGGTGATGATGATGATGATGATGATGAAAATGATAAACATGCCTATTGGTGATGCTTGTGGTGATGATGTTTTTGATAATTATGTTGATGGTGGTGGGAATGATAATGGTGACGATGAAAATGATTGTGATGTGGTTGATGTTAGGGATGACGATAATGATAAAAAAAAAACGCCAATCACTGATCATAATTACCATGCAAGTAAAATAACTCTCGAAATTGATGTCCAATTACATTTGTGCGTATTGCGACTTTAAAACGAATCGTTCGACTCTATTCTTATTTGTTCCCTTTAGGTGATCTGGCCGTCCTCATAAAGCAGGGCATACGACTCCGAACGGCACTCCTGATGAATATGATGTGCGCCTGTTCGGCATTCCTCGGCTTGTGGGTCGGGATCCCGCTCGGACAGACCGAGACCGTTCGGGAATGGATCTTCGCTGCTGTTGCTGGCATGTTCCTCTACGTTGGACTCGTTGACATGGTAAGCACGAACTTCACCGAAGTTCCCCCGAAGTTGTCCCGATGAAGTTACCGAATTGTCCCAAAGATATGTTTTTATTTTCCGCAAATGTACCCGAGACTTTCTATAAACGATATAATCCGAATTCGGATCAGCACGAATTTAGTCAAAGCTAGATACCCTAACGATATGTATATGAAATGTGTATGCCTTGTGGTAATCAATTTAGATAGGAATGGAGACTCAGGATCTATTTTTAAAAAAGACTATAATTTATGTTTTTAGGGGTGGGGAGGGTAAGAGGCACTTTTTTTTGGTCCAATTTTTGAGGAATAATTTAGCGTCGAATCAGCCAACCGGTTAATAAGCGGGAGGGGGGGGGGGGGGGGGGTAGAACACTTAATCCTTTTTTCGGGGGGGGGGGGCGGGCCCGTCGCCCCCCCCCCCCCCAGTGGATTCGCGCCTGTATATATATAAAGAGATGGGACCTGCAAAATCACCTTGTTATAACAGATACCTTGTTTTATCAGAGGTCTTTATAACGAGGTTCCACTGTATAACAGAGAGTATATATATTTTTCTTATCCTTTTCAGCTTCCGATGTTACACCAATACGACGGGAAAAGCAACAAGGTCACCGTGGCGATTCTACAGAACATTGGATTCTTGGCGGGAATCGGGATTATTCTGGTAATAGCGCTGTATGAGGACGCTATCAAATTATCCTTATAGAGGAACGTGAGCCATAAGGAGGGGGGGGGGGGGTGTTAGCGTGGAGAGATACAAATAAGACAGATAACATAATGTATGTGACAGAGGGAGAGAGAGAGAGAGAGAGAGAGAGAGGGGGAGGAGGGGGGGGGGCAGCAACACTACCCAACGAGACAATCTTTTTTATTATATTCCAGTGTTAAGAACTCTTTGTAAACAGAAAACCTAACGGATGTAGACATCGTGAGAGCCAGAATCTCGTCATCTGATCATCTGTTCGATGAGATCCGGGATCTTGCCCTCTTATATCTGAGTGGCACTTTTAAGCTTTCACAGTCTTGCGCATCTTTTAAAACATTTTTTTTATTCGAAAATTGGACTAAGTCACGTGACATTTTGTCTTTGCATGTCAGCCCCCAAATCGATATTATAAATTGTTATAATATTATTCCAAATGCTGTAAAGAATATATGTAGTGAAAATGAATGATTAAATATGAAGAATATATGATTTAGGGGTAAAAATGTAATTAATTATTAATTATAAAAATATAATTCTCCTTAGAACTATAAGCTAAGAAAGATAACCAACAGTACTTTTCAAGACTATACCAAACAATCCTTTTCAGGACTATAAACCCTCAAGAAAGATTACCAAAAGTCATTTTTTCAGGACTCCTCAATCCTCCCCCTCTCTCCCATGGTGCACCCGCAAGCCTACTGTATATGAATTATTTAGCTGTTTACTGTATGTCCATTACCATAATCACACTGAAATCCTTCATCTCCACCAAGTCAATACAGTCTACAGTCCCTCTTATATCTGAGTGGTACTTTTAAGCTTTCACAGTCTTGCGCATCTTTTAAAACATTTTTTTTTTTCGAAAATTGGACTAAGTCACGTGACATTTTGTCTTTGCACGTCAGCCCCCAAATCGATATTAGTTGTGGTTTGTGTAATTATTCAAAATAGTGTAAAGAATATATGTAGTGAAAATGATTGTTTCAATATGAAGAATGTATGATTTATATGAATTGTACGAGGTCTCGTTTGCACAAATTACCATAAATATGCAAATGACTAAATTTTTTCAAAAATGGAAATTACTTTTTAGAGGTTGCATGAATTGTATGCTTTCATTCAAATGAACTTATTAGAAGGATTGGATTGCCCTTAAAAAAAATTGTTATAATATTATTCCTAATGCTGTAAAGAATATATGTAGTGAAAATTAATGATTACATATGAAGAGTATATGATTTAGGGGTAAAAAATGTGAATTGTTCAACCTCGTTTGCATAAATCACCATGAATATGCAAATAAGTGAACTTTTCAAAGATTGAAATTACCATAGTATTCTATACACTTCGCTTGACATGCACCCACATTTTGCGGCGATCAGTCGGTTCACGGCCGAGTTCTTAGGGGGAGGAGGGCATTTATTACCCCCCCCCCCCCCACAAGACATCAAACACCCCGGCCTCATTAGGGTTGAGAGTGTTTTTATAGAGGTTGCATGATTTAATCATTACATATTACAATTGCATCGAAAACGAAGTGTGTATCTTACTCAACACATAAATGCTTGCATATTTAATTCATATATATCGATCTTTATGGACGATTTTCTTGTGATATACAATAAATTGTATAATATTAGTATCAATATCATGGTCTCTGTTCAATTCACAACGAAGTAAGTCGAAAGACAAACTAAGAGAACATTAGAGAAAGGTAAAATAAATGTTACAAGAATGGATCTGAGGAGAAAAGCAATAACCGATGAGAGTGAGAGAAAAAAGAAAATGGGGGAGAGACAGAAAGAGCGTGGGCGAGAGAGAGAGCGAAATTCGATAGAGGGAGAGAGAGAGAGAGAGAGAGGGGGGGGGGCGTAATAGACCCTTTTACCAATTTTATGCAGACCTTTGATATGAAAGTTTATCTTGACGACGACTTTCAGCTTGCCAAAATGCCAAAGATTACCCCCCCCCCCATCATGAATAAAGGGGCATGTTTTCACAGAAGGTTGGGTAACGCGACCACCCCACCGACGCGATGACCTGATGATTCAAAGTACACCTCACAAAGCCAGGGTCCTCCTCCTTTTATTAAATTCCTGGAGAGTATTCGTTTTCACCTTGGATTAACCCCATAACAAGGCACAAACTTGGGCAAGCATATTACGTCCAATAATCACACTGAAAAATAGCACATTTACTCCCGCTACTCATCCTCTCCAAGCGCTATAATTCTCCTTAGAACTATAAGCTAAGAAAGATAACCAACAGTACTTTTCAAGACTCTACCAAACAATCCTTTCAGGACTACAAACCCTCAAGAAAGATTACCAAAGGTCATTTTTTCAGGACTCCTTAATCCTCCCTCTCTCTATCTCTCTCACATGGTGCACCCGCAAGCCTACTGTATATGAATTATTTAGCTGTTAAATGTATGTCCACTACCATAATCAGACTGAAATCCCTCATCCCCACCAAGTCAATACAGTCTACTGATTTGAATACAAGACCGTTTAAAGGTAAATACCAGTATTGGAAACGCCCCAATTTCAAAAAATGAAATGGAAGCTCTCATCACCAATCATGTGAAAGAATATGTTTTGACTAATACATGATGATAAAAAATTTGCCGGGAAACCGCCTACTAATTCATATATTTGGTAAATTTGTTTCTCTCATGGTCTGTGAGAGATATAGGGTAGTCCCATATACATCTTTCTGTGTATAGTGCTTGTAACTTTACGAAGAATGGGCCAAATTTCTTATCATTTTGATGATTCCAGAACCTTGCAGATGCTAGATGCTAGATGATCAACCTTTTCTGGTCGATTCCACAACGTTTCTTTCACAATGCAATCGCATGACCATAACTGGTCTTTACCTTTAAAGATGAGCTTGAGTAGTACGTGGTAATGATAGAAACTAAATTCTCACAGAATCCAACAAAACTTACACTGAATGTCTAAGATTACAAATTAATGACATGCGCCAAACGAGAGAGTAGAGAGCTTAGACAGATAAGGAAATCCGGGTTGATAGGCCCGACAACATGTGCTTAAGATGAAGACATCCGGGTAGGTAGGCCTAGTCTAGTTATGAACCCTTTTAATGATTTTTTTATTCGCCGACTATAAGCGTTAAGCCGAGTGATGGCGCGATCCTTAGAGACGGCGCGATCCCCGATTCGCGCTGGTAATCGGGGATCGCGCCGTCACTATATTACAAAACAAAAACTAAGGATTGCGCCATCACTCGGCTTAACGCTCATAGTCGGCGAATAAGAAAAATCAATAAAAAGGTCCAGAACTAGACTAAAGTTGGCCCAGCACCAAGTGCTTATTTAAGCAAATGAGAGTTGTGTGGGTTTTGTAAAGATGATCACCAGCAAGATTTTGTGAGGTTCTTTTTATCTTACTGGGTCAAACAATCAATCTACCGAAGGATAAACAATCCAGAATGAAAACATAAAGCCATGTTTTCTCGACATACGATGCCTATACACTCAAAATTAATGTACATGTAACATTACAACTCGAATAACACAACAATGCCGCGACAAATACATTTTCAAGGAAAATTTTAATGTACAGAATTAATCTCATATTACACTTGCACATAACACAACAACATAATGAGGGTTTTTGCAAGAGCATAAGAAATTTAAAATTACAAGTGATGGTCAAGAATCTGCACTAAAAGTTATCTCTTTAACAAAAATAAATATTGTGTGTACGTAGTTCATCAAAGTGGCAAGAATGCAGTGATTTACAACAAAACTGATGAATTAATGAATAAATGTGATTGTAATTATCCGTCCTTTAGCACTGTTGCAAATGCAGCGATCTAGCATATTAAGGAATTACAAGTCTTGCTGACCATCTACCGCACCAGGGGGGGGGGGGGGGGTGTTTAACAAATATCTTGAGTCAAACTTAACTCTAAGTTGGACTTGAACATTATGGAGAGTCATTGGTAGCATTACAATTAAACATATTAAAAAACATCAATTCAAGTATTTTAGACTTTTCATAAATTCCACATCAAGAACATGACATTTCCTTGATAATAGAAATTATGAATGATTTGAATCAACATTTTATGCCTTTTAAAATAACTTTTACAAAATATCTTTTAAGATGCTTACGGCTTTTCTTAAGTCCAACTTAGAGTTAAATTCGACTTAGGATCTTTGTGAAACGACCCCCCCCCCCAGAGTGTAGAGAGGCAAACTATGGATGCACCTCAAGATCTTGACCCACTTTCATAAAATTACTCATCAATAACGAGATGCAATGATTTTTTAATGAGATACTGAAATCATTGCATTTGATTGGCTAAGAGCAGATTGGTCATAGATCTGTGGCAGATGTTATTGATAACAAGTTTGATGAAACAGGGCCCTGACCTACCTCGGGTGAAATGTTGCTTCCTCTATAGTTGATTGATTGACAGATTTCATCAAGCCAAGCAATTTCTTCTGTTTATTCCCTGTTTGTGCTTCCCTTCCCAAGAAAAAGTGAATAGCGTCCTGTTGTGAGTCAAAAGAAAAGGCCATTAAATAACAGGTCATTAGCTCTGCAAGATTATACATTACCCATCATCATCATCATCATCATCACCACCCCGATCGCCATCACCATCATCACCACCCCGATCGCCATCACCATCATCACCACCCCGATCGCCATCATCATCATCATCACCACCACCACCATCACCACCACCACCACCACCACCACCACCATCACCTCCACCACCACCACCACCACCACCACCACCATCACCTCCACCACCACCACCACCACCATCACCTCCACCACCACCACCACCACCACCATCACCACCACCAGCACCATCATGAATATCTTACCAGTATACTAGCAGATGATGTAGGGATGAGAGCCGACTGGAGGAGGGATGTAGTCATCAGAGCTGAAGGGATGGTAGGCAGTGAGATTGTAGGTATAACAGACTCATTGCTTTCAGTAGTAACTGCTGCAGCTACAAGAATAATGTAACGCCCAAATGGTCATTTAACAAAAACATCCAGATACTTGAAATCTTTTCAACTTGAAAAAAGCTACATCGACAGGTTGCTATATGACACACTGTTTACAGGCAACGAAAACAAATTCTCTTGTTCCAATTCTAAATATCGCATCAGTCCTAATATCGATTAATTTGGGTACAAATATAAAAGTTGAATTTTTTGTTGTGGTTGTGTTTTGTTGTGGGTTATTTTAATACCATCCCCACACACACACACACACATACACACACATCGACTCTATTGCATATGATATGATTTCAGAAGAGTAGACCCTATGATCCATCACACAAGTGGACAATAATATATGAATAAATAAATAAATAAGTAAATAAATCCTCATCTTTCTCCTTATCCTTCATGTTTTTCTTCTTCCGTTTTCTTACTCTCTTTCCCCTTCTTTTTCTTCTCCTGTTTCCTTTCTCTTCTTGCGTTTCCTTCCTTATAAAAGAGCGGGGCGTCCATGTAAATTGACAACCTACAGTTTTTTTAACTCTCAGAAATTGTTCAGAAGGCCCGCTGTGGGTTGAAAGGCCGTCGGTTTTGTGGTCGACGATGTCGTGTAGGGTTATCGACCATTTTGAAAAAAATAACTACATTATTTTAAAGAACTTCTGTGTATTATTTAGCCAGGACTAATTGAAATATGTGCAATTAAAACAAAACTTTTAAAATTCCCTGTTCTCAATACAGTGCAGAAAATTGCAATTTTATGTCAACCCATGAATGAATCTTTTATGATAAATTTCTATTTTTTACAGGTATGAACAGATGTTTGAACGGCTTTCCATGTGCCTAGAATAAAATCGAAGATAGGCGAGCGAAGTTTTTTATTCCAGTGGTCCGGTTACATGAAATAGGTTACCTTGTGAATTGCGCTGTAGTATGTCAGTTAAAGTATTTAAGAAACATCTCAAAACACATCTATTTGCATTGTAATAAACTAAATTACAATTTCTATCATATATTTTGTTGAGTTCTAAATCATTGACTTTTGTGTTTTGTAAAGCGCTTTAAACAGTTGTAAATTGGATAAAACGCTATAAAAGAAACAATTTATTATTATTATAGTCTCATAGAGAAATTTGAAACTCCAGGTTCAAGCTACAAATTTACATAAAGTTACGAGATTCTACGTCAAACGACAGGATAAATTGACAAATGTATGACGCTTCTGCAAGGTTTACACAAAGCAATATAATACCTTTAATGAACAGTCCAAAGGTCGAGATTGATGTATCGGTGGGCGTGGCTTGACGTTCGGAATAATCAAGAGAGTAGGATTGATGAAGACTTAGTTGATAAAAGACTGTTTGCAGTATTCTTTATTGACATGTATTATATATATGCCCGGGTATATATGTCTTGGGTCGTCTTCACGCTGCCTGCACACGGCACGTATAAGCATTCTGCACACAGTACTATACGTAACAGTTGCATGTAACACACCCATAGGCGCACAGTACAGGAAAAGTTCTTCATTCAAAATGGCGTACCTACGTACCGTGTGCACCAGATTTCTCTTGCTCGCCATCCTGACAAACTTTCTTGCGATCACGGTCGCAAGCTTGACGAGGGACCCGAGGGAAATACACGAACACGAGGATGATGACGACTACGTGGAAATTGGAAATTATCTTTTGGAGGTTGAGCTGGCGGATATGAGAGAGGAATTCGATTTTTTGAATAATCCGGAACAGAATGTGACGTTTGATCAAGTTGTTAGTTTGGTCGAAATAGTTTTCGGACGGATCAATTGTGAGCAACGGGTCGATAACTGTTCTAAGGTAAAACAAAAAACGATTTAGTTTTCATAGTTATTAGGTTATTTACTCATTATTCACTTTTTTAGTTTTTATTTCAGTTTTTATGAAAACGGGGGTTTCTCGTCAGTCAATTAACTGCTGTAAAAGAAAAATACAAAATATACATAACAGATAATCTTAAATCATTTAACAATTAAATCAAGGCACATCAATATTTTGGTGAGTTATATTCGAATGAAAGTGAAATGGGGAGAGATATTGACAGACAGATAGATAGAGGGTAGGATATTAATGGAGAGAAAAATGAATACTATTGAAGGAAAGGTGAATGTACAAGAATGTAGTTATATCAAAGAAAGATAGAGAGAACAAAAAATGAAGCAAAGAGATTGAGGGATAGAGAACAAATGAAAAAAGAAATAACGATATGAGGAAATAGAGAAATAGAGAACATTGACAAAAGAAAGAAACTAACTTATAAACAACAAAATGAAGGTAAAAAAAAACACATGAAACTACGATACAATACGATAAATACTTTTAAAAAACAGGCTGTATAAAACTTAACACAAACAAACATGGTAACTGAAATCCCGATGAATCTTATTCTCAGGGACACCTTGATCTAAATCATCTAGTTTTGAAATAAGGCCCGTAACATAACATGGCCTGTCATTGATTTTGGGGGAGAGAAGAAATCGACGAGCTTGAATATTTTGACATTATGGCTCTCTTGAAGTATCCTTCCTCTGCTTAATCTTCTTCTCCTACTTCTCCTTCTTCTCCTTCTCCTCCTACTTCTCCTTCTCCTCCATCTTATTCTTCTCCCTCTCCTTTGTCTATCTTCTTTTCATTATTTTTTTCATTCTATATTTCTTCCTTTCTTTTTTCTTTTTCTTCTTTTTCTTTTCTTAATACTTTTCCTACTTACCGAAGTCACATTTAGCATTGAATTTAAAAATGTCCTCTTTTTAAAAATATAATTTGATGATATCAGTCTCTAAAATATAATTAAAAATCGCTATACCAATATTTATCCTCCATACGTAGACATTTGATTTTATCTTGTTTACAAAAACTATTGATTTTCCTCTCCAGACAACACTATTTCAATTTAAATGAAGGCAATCCGAACTTTTTAATATGTTTAATTGTATGAAAGCAAAACATAAAGAGAAACAGAATGACCAAAGATTAAAAATAAATCAGACCAATACTGAATAAATTAAAGAATGTTTGAATCATGGGATTACTACATCTATGCGAACTTCAAATTGGCAATTTGGTTAGTGGATTGTAACTTAGAGTCACGGACAGTTCTCCCGTTCTTCGTGTACAGAATATATTTCAGTATTGTTAATTTTTCCCGTAAGTGTCATTTGCCTTTGGGGCAGTACTCAAAACATAATGGAAATCATATTGTCATAGGTCATCTAAAAGGAGTTGAACAGGCTAATCCATGCATTTTGAAGAAGAACAATATTCTGTATTTTTCATGTTTGTTAAAACAGATTGGGAAAATAGTCCGGCCATACGTCACGATGACATGGCGACTTCAGCTAATTTAAAATGGCCTTATACGATTTGTCCATCGGCCTAACAAACTTGACAACTTTCTTATATTTTGTCCGATTTTATTCACATTTTCTTTAGTCTGCTTATCTGATTTTCTGCTTTCTTTCACAGTAGTTTTATACTATAAAGTTGACATTCCACAATTGTCAAGCTTAAGGGAATCTTATCAATCAGAATCTCAATTGTTCACACATCAAACGAGGAAAATCTCTCTAGCAAACACACAATGCGATGATAACACCCGCAATTGCGCGTCCTGGAATATAGACCCAGCAAGTCATAAGACCACGCCTTTATTTGGAGTGCGAGCGTTCAAGTGTGGTGCATTGTGGGATACAACATATCTATAATTAATCTACTGCCTAAGGAAATTGAGTGATGCATAGACTAAGCCTATTATCATGAGATAATTATGTAAACTAAGACTTTGAGGAAGAGAGAATTATGTAAACTAGGCCTATGACTATCAGAGAATTATGTAAAATAAGACTATATTATATGAGCATGAGAGATGTATGTAAACTACATGTTAAATCGCAATATTGTTCCCACGCACAGCACGAACAGAAAACGAGGTGAAAACAAATAGATAATAAATCATGATACGGACGTATTGTATCACTATGAGGAAGTACATGCATCTAACTTTTTTTTCAATTATTTTCTGGCAAGTCCCCTTTTTGTATTGATTTTGAGATTGAAGATCAAAAATTGAGAATGAGGCCCGCAACACATAGCCGGATTTAAAAGGGTATAACCGCCACTGCCCTTTTAAAACCCCTAGAAAATATGCCCCCTTTTTTCATAGTGGCTGAGTTTTTGTGTATTTGCGCCCCACTTGATGCTCCCCTTCCCTAAGGCTAGACCCCAAAAGGCAGAAGTAAATAATAATATTAACTTTTTCCATCCCATTTGTTATGTTTTGTATTTTTCTTCTACTGCTATATGCATTTATTTTCGATTCACTTATTATTTTTTTTCTATTTTATTTCTGTTCCCAACAAAATATTACAAATCAATTACAATCATTATCTTTATTTGACTGGTTTACTATTATTACAAGTGTATACATACTGTTTAAAAAAAGGTTGTTCTCATCCTAGGATTGCCCGACATGGCAAAAAGTAATGCATGTAATCTGGATTCCAAGTATTGTAGTTCATTCATCAATAACATATTAATGAATACCTCGTTACTAAGTCCCAAAGAGAGAAACATCTATAAATTTGAATATGTTCAGAAACCGGTCTATTTAGAATTTAATTACATCAAGAAAGTTCTCTGCGGTTAGTATAGGCCAACTCATGCTCACAACACTTGATTTCATATTTTCTATGAACTGCTATTGGTCAAACTGTTGGCGAAAGGGACATGAATACAAAACCCTTTTTTTAAAACTGATCATGTTTGTTTATTCTTAACAAATCGATACTTAATATGTAAACTATTTTGTTATCACAACCTTTAGTTTTTTGATCGAATAATCATTTGCCCCTTTATAATTATACCGCAGCTATAATGCAAATAACACTCTACCGCGATACACAGCATCATATCAGTCGAAACGTTTGTAGCTGAGCCGCCCTGATAAGGTGCTAAAGCAATTAGCAATAAAGTTGCCCCCCTACCCCTCTTTCTCTCTCTCTCTCTTACTAATGGGGCGTTGCAAGAAAACTGAGTCGCGATTAATTGCAAATTTGCAATAAATCGTAAGACTTTAACGCTTGATTTTGGGGATTTGCAATTGATTGCACCTTTCTTGCAACGCCCCATAAGTATATTAAAGGAAACTTTACCCTAAAGAATACGTGTATTCTGAAAATGGGATGTACTCCTGTTCTTTGATGTACAATATTCTTTATGAAAGTGTACAAGAGATAATTAAGTAAAGTTATTCTTAGCACGATTTGATGCCTTTTAGCATGACATGTGCGCAGCCATTTCCTTGAAAATGTGACGTAAGAGGTAAAGTTGTACATGTATCATGCACCAAGCTTTATTTAAAATGGAAAGACTTTTCAAATCAATAAACAAACTTTTACATTTCAATGACCACAAATCATAGCTGGAAAGATAGAAATTATATTTGGTGAAAAAAAATGTATAACAGGGGAACAATCGTAACAAATTTATTCAAAGTACTTAAACATAGCAGTTGACAAATCTCTTTCACCCAAGGAAAGCGCCAATTACTTATGCAATATGCGTTATGGAAATTGTAGGACTAAAAGGATAAGGCCTATACAAAAAATGCTGTATTGCCCTTTAGGTGCCAAAACGGCTCGGTGTAAAAAAGTCAGAGGAAAAAATGTCAGAGGTAAAAATGCCAGAGGAAAAAATGTCAGAGGTACAAATTTCATTAATTTCAGCGCTGCTTTATTGTCTTCTTTCTGTAACTTTTATTTATCTTTCTGCCCGAAATTGGGACCTTTTGCCCGAATTTTGCCGAGGGGAGACAGGGGGGGGGGGGTGCATCCTTCGTAGTGACCCGGCTGCCTCCCCCTCATATGCCTTTGTCTAAGCAAGTGATACTGGTACACTGAGCAAACTTCTGGGAAAAAAGAATGTCTAAAATCGAGTAGTTTGGCCATGAATAATTATCGGCCGAGTTGTGGCTCGATGGTGTAATCATTAAATAAAAAGAAAAGTCATCACAGCCCCCCCCCCAAAAAAAAATAAGATATCACGCTGTTAGTCCTCCGCCACCCCCGCCACCCCTTCGCCCCACCCCCCCTCCGCCCCCACTTCAATGTCCCTTCTGAAGATTGATGGACATTTTAAAATGTGGCAATGACTACTATAAAATGTAATTTACTACAAATGCATATTTCCAACAATTTCACTTTTGTGGGCTTGATACTTTGATACCTTGATACAAAGCAGAAAGCCGCCCATGTATCAAATGCTAACCGCACCATCACATTCCAGAGAAGCGCGCGCTTTGCAAAGAGTTGATCGTCGATCACTATTGCGGTATAAATAGTCTGGGAGAACATCAATAAGCAGCTTGATACTCTGATACAAAGCAGAAAGCCGCCAATGTTACATCAAATACTAACCGCACAATCACATTTCAGATAAATGCGCGCTCTGCAGAGGTTCTGTTTAAGCTACATCGTTCTATAATTATTTGCTGTGAGAGATCAAACTCTGAAATTGACAAATATTTATTCATGAGTAACATATCAGAAACATAGTTTTACTGTACACATTTATAGCATCATGATCAAGGGCGTCAATCCGAGTTAGAGCATGGGGGGGGGGGGGGGGGGACACAATTACATGTCACATTAACAGTTACTTTCACAATTATACCACGTTATGTTGCTACACACACTCTTTCTCTCTCTCTCTAGTTATTCTGTTTCACGGCATGTAATTTCATTGGTGACCGGTTCGTTCATTGCCTTTTTTTTTTATATTTGACGTTTCATTACATTTTTAGAGAAAGAAGACGATTCGTTGTATACCGTTCTCGACTCTTAATCTTTGTTTGAATTCAGTCTCCCCCCCTACCCTCCCACGTGGAAACGTTGACGTTACATTAAATTATTAAAGAACTTCTTTTCTGACAAAACATGGGGGGTACATTTCACCGCCTGAAAATTCTTTTGAGGGGGGGGGGGGGTGGACGTGTCCCCCGCCCCCCCAGGATTGACGCCCCTGATCATGATACTGCTTGTATACATGATAATATTGTTTGAAGGATATTTGGTGCAGGATTTATACGAGGTGTGCTGGCATACACTGTATACGACAGTTTCCTTCAGGTACATATTCGTACAAGTCTACACATTAAACAAAATGCATCATGAATTTGGCAGAACAAAAACAGTTGAAATTGAGGTACTTATACTGTATGTCTCCCACGTTTCTTAATCACAAACATGATTTTTTTTAAATATAAAGTTACGCAGTGTCAGGCGCGTACACAGGGGGGGGGGGGGGGTGTTTGGGGGTTAAACCCCCCCTTTTGGTATTTTTATATGTGTAAACCCCCCATCACCGCCCTTAACCCCCCCCCCCCCCCAACGAAGCCAAATGTCAAATTTTGAAATTTCGAGACCAAAAAAAAAAAGAAAAAAAAAGTGTCCTCTTTTTTGGGTATCTCTGACATTTTTTCCTCTGACATTTTTACCTCTGACATTTTTACTTCTGACATTTTTTCCTCTGACATTTTTTCCTCTGACATTTTTACCTCTGACATTTTTACCTCTGACATTTTTACCTCTGACATTTTTACCTCTGACATTTTTACCTCTGACATTTTTCCTCTGACATTTTTTCCTCTGACATTTTTACCTCTGACATTTTTACCTGGCACCGCCAAAACATGGGTCGGTCGGTCGGAAATCTTTTTTTTTCTTTGACTACCTCTTTGGGCTGATATTTCTCAGTTTTGAATGCTTTAAAGGCCCACTGCACTACTTGTAGCTACTTGCGCCCTCTATATACCAAACAATGCCTAATCGGTGACCATTGGTCCCCCATGATCCTCTTTTTCTTATGTTAACTGAGAGCTGAGTTGAGGAGATAACCACCTGTCCAGCGACCTTGCAGGGCGGCCTAATCCCTCCTGTAAACTATGGCAGATAAGCTTTAATATAATTTTTTTTCTCTGATAAACGTTTTTTTTTTTAATTGCTAAAAAAGCCGACCGTAGATTTCAAGAAATTGGGTCGGTAGCAAAAGGCAAAACAACATCTTTTTGTTTATGCCTAATAGCAAGCGAATATTCATTTTTATCACCACCGGACTAGAAGGACTCAAAATCCCGAACCACCTTCCAAGGTTCGGTGAGGTAGCCGCCACAAACGACACGTTTACCTATAAGGCAGGCATCGCAGCTATTTTTAAAAATCATATAAATATTGTGTGTGTCTCTTTAAAGATACACGAAGAGAAAGACCAACCGTCGCTGTTTACTGCTGTCAAATTTGATGCATTATCACTGCGGTTTAGTTTTTGGTCTATATATTACAAAGTATTGATGTATTTGTGTTGCATTTCATAATACCGATTCACTCGTGCAAATCATTGTATGAATACATGCGGTGAAGAGCGTGCTTGGGAAGATGGGCTGCGTGCTATATCGGCTCGGGTGCGCGCTCGTGCGAGGGTCGTTGTGTGTTTACAGAGGATTTCTCATTCCCTTTCTGGCGGGAAGACAACAATAGAACAAGTACAAAACCTGTCATTCCTTTCAATTTGGTTCGTAAGCATATCGCTTTTTGGGGGGTTTAACCAACTTTAGGTAGTTTCAATAACCTCGTGCATCATTTTGAAATGTGCTGATGTCACAATGACGTGCTCCAAACAAGAATTATTTAGGACAGCGACTTTCCAACCCTTTTCTTGTCGCGGCATCCTTTAGAGATATAAATGATTTCGCGTCACCCTAATCCCAAGTCATTATAGGAGTTTCATTAGGAACTTTTAGACTTACACGACGGAGAACGTGGACTGTACTTTTAAGGCAATGTGACGTCACTGCCAGTGCCTTAAAAGGACGTCACATTGCCTTATAAAAGGGCAGTCCACGTTTCCGTCGTGCAAATCTATAAGTCCCTATTTTTAAACACGCTGGTACACGTCAAGTGCCATGAACACACGAACGGACTCATATTACCCCTAAACTTTGAGATTGAGCGGAGCGAGCCAAAACAAACAATGACATTTCTTGTATAGTTAACTGCTATTTGTAAACATAATACACTAGATAAGTAATGATGTGATGTATGCGAAAGACATTCTGGAACCTCGTTGACTTCTAATTTTGGTATTTAGCACTTTATTGCCTGAAATCACATCGTTTCTAAATAAAATTGCGAAGGAGCGAGAAAAAAAAGAGACACTTAATTGTCTTTAGAGTGTTATTTCTTTAATGGATTAAAAAAATGATCTTTAGTTCATTTCTCTCACGGTACACCTAAAGACGTCTTGTGGCACCCAAGAGGTGAAATAACGCTGATAATTTAAAGGCAATAAAACACGAGATTAATTGCCCTGAGTTAATTTTTAGAAGGTCTAAACTACATCCTCGCTCTCTATCTCCTCCGTCTGTTCTAGTGCCAACATGACTTCACATCTGACGTCTTTTCCAGCCTCCATATCGACGTTGTCGACGGACTCGATGACGCCGCGTTTCTCCGTGCTAGTCCCTTATTCCTCTTCGGAGCGTACGAGATGGTGGCGGTATGCCAGGCCGGTCGTGGCGGCACAGATCTCACTGAAAGTGTGGTGATGGCGTCACTCAAGATGGCGGCACCTGATTCGTCTAACTTGACCTTGACTGAGAATGACCTGGAAGTAATCTTGGAATCGATCCATGACAGCTATGCCGAGTCAACGAACGCGAAGGTGAGGGACATTTAATGTTGGCATAGGTTCTTATAATACAAATATTGACTGGTGGACTTTGTGATATAACGTTATTTGGGGTGTTTAAAGGTGGTGTGTGTCTGTTTAACTATATGTGCGTATACATGAGGAATAGAAGGACCGAATGTAATTTGTTTTGTGAGTGTGTTTTGCGTTTGGTATTGTTTTTTTTATATATGTTTTTAAAAAGTTAAATCTCTATATTCAGGGCTAGAACTATGCTTTACTTTCGTTCGTTCGTGTCTCCTTAGATCAAGATTAAAAGACTATTAACATGTTCTGAACAAAGCATTGTTTTATGTTGTTGTTACGTAAACATGTGTTTAAACGAGTATTTCAAATATTCTCCTTCTGTATACTGTATTGGGTGCAAAAGAAAATGTATACATTTAGTTTGACTTGTAATTTATTTAATTTCTGAATGATGTTATTTGTATTAACTTTGTTTTGGAGAATTAAAACATTTCGGATTAAAAAGGAAAAATAAGGCTAGGAGTGGAAGACGCTAATTAAGATCCTCGCAATAGATATCACGTGACGATCTAGGGACCAATAACATATTTGCGTCTGTAAGAGTTATCTGTAACATTGGTAATTGGTAAAGGTATACAATTTTCGAATAGTAGAAGAATATATGATATATAAGAGGTGGAAAATGGGATAATATGAATAGATTATTGGTTATACTGATTTCGAAAAGGAAAACTTGACGGCATGTCAACAAGATAAACGCATGCACAAATTCAATTATGTACGCTGCTAAGAATTCAGAAAAAACCCGAAACGAAGCCTAGAAGCCATAAGCTACACATTCAAACAGTTCAAACGTTTTATTCATAACATATTTACACAATAATAGCATGCCTATCAAAAATCAAAGATATTTTATAGCAACAACACAAATCTTTAAAAAATCGAATAAATATCTCATCACAGGGAAATAGTAATACTATGTTTTATAGAGTGGAGAAGTGTGACGTCATCAAAAATCTATTTTTAGCTGAGATATGACCATCTGAATGAATATATGTCCAATGGGAGCTCAGTGTTATATGCTCTGGCTTCTAACCATTAGGAGCCAGAGCATATAACACTGAGTTCCTATGTGGAGTATATTTATTCAGATGGTCATATCTCAGCCAATATTTAACATATTCAATTGGTTTTCGACATTTGGACATTATTTTTTATGTTCTTTCGGAAAATGAAGAAAAAATTGAGAAATTCTAAAAATAGATTTTTATGACGTCACAGCTTCGGTACTCTATGTCCCATAGAAATCATATTTGGATTACCTAATACGCCATTGCCATCTTTTTAGGTGACCCACAAAATATATTAAGATTGTGTTTGGTTGATGTATCGAAAGGAGTTGCTATCTTGTTTTAAATATAACTTTAACGTAATAAATTCTTAAATAAGTAGGTGTTGAGATCGATCATGTGCATTCCATGGACTATCAGATGGTGATTAGAAAAATCAAATAAATGCGAACTCTCTCGTTTTATCATACATTTAATAGTGCTTTAGCGTTGAATCTGTCTTCGACGAAACCGTGAATGATCACGAAGCAGGGGCTGACGATGACGAGCTCCAGTATGCGGCGCAGGCCGTGGTCGCCGGTCTACTACAAGGGTACTGCATAGGAGAACCCATTCTGCCCTCGACCACGGACTTCACCGAGGCAATTTCCGACACGTATGCGACGTTGGGCGTCATTCCCGAGGAAGGTGAGCATAAGAGAATACGACGACCGTAGAGACTGCCTAGAAATCAACCCACTGGGATCTTCTAAACCCTATCATGTTTCCTGTGTAAAAGCATTCTGGGACGATGTAATTGTTTTGTTCGTACATTTCCAAATTCGATGCTCGATGTTATTGAATTTGCTTGTAATTATAAGGTCGATGTCTCGGACAAAGAGCATTTTTAGAGGACAACATATGTTCTCCATTAACTGACGCAACAGTGACAACTTGAGACAATTCAGATACGTTGTATTTAGGTTCAAATCTTTACTTTCAAATGACATACCCCTGGATAAAATCCGTGATAATGAAGTTTTCTATGATTAATATTTCATGTTTCTTGGGCATTTGCATCTAATTTATGAAACAAAAAAAAGGGGGGGGGGTAGGTTAAATCAGTCAGGTAAATGTCCATTTGGGTGTTTGTACAGTGGAGCAGCGAACTTTAAATGTACAAGTAAGGAAAATCCATTGACGATCGAATTTGCAGAGAATAATTTTTACAGACTTTTGTGAAATTCCTCGGTTGTTATGATAAAACATTATGATAACCCCTCCCTCCCCCCCCCCGCCTCTCCCTGGCTCTCCCTCTATATGGTCTAACTCAAACTCACTTTAAACTCTCTCTTTACAACGCAACGCAGAGTTCGCGCACATGCTGATAGACCTCGGAATCGGTGGGGAAGATGGCCACGACCATGAACACGCCCGTAGGAGGAGGGACGTCATAGCAACACGCTCGAAGGGGCGGAGCATAGAGAAGCGAGCTACGGTATTGGCTGATGATCACGACCACGCCAATCATAGCCATTCACACGTTGCGAACGTTACAACGGTAAGATGGATTGAAATTAATGTGTTATGCAAATTGCTCACGATGCGTCAATGATTTGACACAGGACTGCGTCAACGAACTGCCTGGTTTTTTTGACGCACAACACGAGGGTGGAATGATAGTGAAGAGTGACATGTTCTACGTTATATAGTAAATGTTATTTCATATCAATCTTATGTAAAATATATTCCATGTTTTGATTCACTTATGGAAACATATATTTTAATTTAACACAAACAAACTTACACACTTGTCAAAAGATGAATAACGATAATGCTCGTTGTACTCAAAGCGTATTTCGATAGCCAAACTGCTTACGCTAATTATGCCTATGACGCAATCAGTACTTGCGCCATTCTATAGCAATATGTTTTCACTGTTCATTTCCCAATCATTCCTTGAACAATCTTACTCTCTCATGATTCATCAAAGACCATGCCAAACACAAACACAGTCCTATGTGTTTAATACCAAAACATATATTTAAATGTTGTATTGATCATTCATAAACAAAATACTAACTGTGTATGGTCCGCTTAGGTTCTTGAACAACATCGCTGCTTATTTGACAGAAGAAACTTTCAAACAGAAACTCAAAACCAAACTCTTCCCTTAAGTCACGTCCGTATTGCTGCTGTGAGTCAGAGGGGTGATGATTAGGTGATAATTAGGTATTTCTTCATTAGCTCGAGATTGCCAAATAGCCCGCTGTTTCTGATAAGCAAATAAGCCCGAAGTTTTACAAATCGCGTTTTCATCAGCTCGACGCTCGAGCTCGAGAAATTAGCTCGAGATATTTTGCTCAGCGTTCGCGCAGAGTGCTAGTCTTCTGGCTGGTAAAAACGAACCGGACAAATAGCGGGATATTTTGCAAACTAGCCCAAGATATCTCAGAATGATTATCTCGACCGATTATCCCGCTAATTGCAACTGCAGGCTAAATGAAGATGCAAATTAGCTTGATAACTTGCGATCGGGATAGTTAACATAGCGGGTTATTTGGCAATCTCGAGCTGATGAAAACAGGCCTATTATATTATCAACACGTCTCTGGCCCTCAACAGGGCATGTGATAAACATGTATGATGCCATTACTATTATCGTCGCTGTTTTCACGAAGTGACGGTAGTGAAAAAAATGCATTCACTTTGCGTTACGATTTTCCTCACTTCGTGAAAACAAGGACGTTATTATGTCCTTATCTGTTATAATATTATGCACATCGTGCCTAATCTTTGAATATAGATCACTATTATGTAAACTGATAAGTGCCATATGTATATATGTTATTGTTCCAAATACATTTTGTTGATTTTCGTTTGGTATCCGCGCTCTGATCAGGATTATGTTAATAAATTGATAACAGAATAATGTACGTTGTATTTTGTTCATGACATGTACTTAATTCATGAAGCAAGCAATTAAAATGGTTACCAACTGTTTATTAAATCTGACATTTAACATTAATATAATCAGAGAAGGCAGGGATTATATAAAAGCAACTTGATTGTGTTCAGTTCGGTTGTGAAATTCATCCTGAGGATTGAGTTTGAAACTCCGAAACATATCCCATTAATTTAAATGCTATCTATGTTTTTCGATGTATTTATTTTGAGAGCTTTTCACCCTTTTGGTAAAGGCAAATATTGTGTCGATTGCAAGGGCTCTGTTTCTTAAAACTTGTCATGAATAACAAATGTTGAATTTCTATGACAAAGTTGCTCTCAGCGGATCAAAAGCCACGATTTCAGTAGCTTGTGATTTAAACTTGTTATTGGTAACAAGTTTTATGAAACAGGGCCTTGGTGCTTAAACCAATTGCGTCCATGGGACTAATTCGAGAGTGAAAAAGGGGGAAGCAGGGTTCTTTGCTCGTATATCATGTGTTGATCAGCTGGTGATCTTTTCTCAAGAGTTGGACTGTCCGGTTCAAGGAGTCAATAGGTTAACGTTCCATGTATCTCAGTGAAAGAAAAAAAATTCAAGTCTATAAATGTTGTTATAATCTCGCACCCGGTTATTTGAAATATGTATTTTTCTTTCCGATCAGGCCTATTCATTTTGTCGGCCAAAAAAAAGCGGGATTAATGGTTCGCTAAATAATACAATAAGATTACTTAACAATGCTGTAAAAAAGCCTTTAAAAGACATTGGATATATAGGGTGAAACAGTCTTAATGTGAATGAAATAAATAGTTTCTCATGACATGCCTTTAAATTGTCACTGAATAATCCAATTTCATATCTGACATATTATGTACATAGCCTATCAACGACAAAACGTTGAGGTATAATCAAATCCTCAGATAGGTTGTGACTTTTTCAATCAATCCCCCCTCTCTTCACATCACTATTTTCACCCTAATGATTATAGTTTTTAAAAGTATGGTAAAGTTTAGTTATTCTTCATTTTTGTCTTTTTGTCTTTTGGTTTTGGTTTGGTTGTATTTTCATTTTTCATTTTTCATTCTTTGAGTCAACGAAAGTCTTTGAATTCGCCTTCATTATCAGCCAAAGTTCAATAAACTCTACGTACAAGTATGGCGGATAGACTACTATATACTCTAAATCCCATCGTACAACATAGGATCCGACTACGAATCTGATTTTGGAAGACATTCCATTAGCATTTGACACGAACATTCAAACATATGAAAACTTAATGACCACAGATCTCAACAGTCATTATGATGACGAAAAATGAAGATTTCGAGGGTTTTAAGCTGGATTTAAATGCTTCGTTAGAAGGGGAATCGCTAAATCGGCTCAATATCGTAGTAGAATGCCCTGTATTCTTAATAATGTACCATGTAGGGACATGTTGAAAACAGCTATGTCAAGCTGATAGCATGTATTTTAATCACTGTATTTAAATAAATAGATCAGATTAATAAAGGATTTCCCCCTGTTACCACTCTCTCTCTCTCTCTTGTCTATAGACATGCTTTTCGAGCGAAGAACTACTAGACATATACGGTATTGACCATGAAGCTGGAATTACCGAAGAACAGTTCAACGAACTTTCTCCGTCACTGGTGCAACAAATCTTGAGTGGAGCATGCGAAATTACAACCACTGAGCCATCGGATATCTCCAAAGCAAAAAGTTAGTAAAAATATTGTGATTTAGTGTAAATGTTTAGATATATATCACCAGCCTTGTTTTTCATAATAAAAGTAATAAACTTCTTTCACTTTCTTGTTTGTTATCACTAATGCCTCCCATTTTGGGGGTTCATTGACTCAGAGGTAGTAATAATATTTTGATTTTAGTAACTGATTAGTGATTATGTTGATGTATCACCAGCTATGTGCGTCTTGATGAATGTAATAAACTTCTTTTACGGTCTTACTTGTTATTACTCTCGCCTTCCGTTTTGGGGTGCGTCATTGAAAGATCCCTCTCTTGTGCACTTTCGCTGAGGAATTGTTTCTCCAAAACAAATGTCCAAAAACTCGACATGGACTTTGTTTCATAAAGCTTGTTATAAATACCAAGATAAAAAACCATTTATAAGCTATTGAAATTGTGGCGTTTTAATATTTGGGTTAGAGCAAATTTGAATGAAGATAAAAACACGTTTGTATGAAACAGGGCCCTGATGACCTCTGTATGAAGGCATACAAATTTAAGTTAATTTGTGAATGAATAATTTCACGGTATTTATCTATTTACGGTGAAAACTCACGTAATTGACAATCAAAGCTCAAAATCAGACTACTTAACACTATGGATATATTTGATGGAATCTGTTGTTTTGTAAATAGATTGAGATCGCTACATTTATCATGGTTTAACAATTTCTTTGAAAATAATTATGATATACCGTGGAAGTTTATGTTTAGATACTGGATTGAAAAATATGTCCGTTGTTAGTAATTTTGAAAACAAATTGTTCCAGTAAAGACATGTTAAAGTTATGCTTAAAACAAAAAATACCTAATTTTTATGTTAACTGTCTCCTAACTTGGAGCGAACTTAAATATATTCAATTTCCACAAGTTATGAATGTTGAAAATCAAGTATTGTGGTACAATAGTAATATTACACATGAGAGCAAACCTCTCTTTTTTAAAGAATGGTTTAGAAAAGGCATTATAACAATGAATGACATTGTAGAAAATGGACGTTTTCGGCCAAGAGAACATATTTGTAGAGTGCTTGGCTCAAATTCTTTGCTAGTTGATTTTATGTATACGAAGCTTAAAAATGCGATCCCAAAAATGTGGATCGAAAGAATTCAAGATGTTAATTACGCACATGACGATAAAACAAATTCACAATTCGAAGGCGACTTATACGAAATAAGAACACTTGATTTTATAAGACTATCTTCATTGAAATCTAGCCATTTCTATAGCCTATTGTGTGACTTTAAGAAAAGAGAACCAGCTGTATTAACATTTTGGGAAGGTAAACTGAACCTTGTCATTGATTTTGATTGGAGAGATACATTAAAATTTAAGTTTAAGACATTGAAAAACAATAAAATAAAACAACTCAACTTTAAGACATTTCATAGGATTTTACCCTTTAGATACAATCTGTGCAAATGGAAAATTGTAAATGAAAACCTTTGCATTTTTTGTAAAACAGCAGAATCTTTCGTTCATGTTCTTTTAGAGTGCCCGAGCGTAAAGCTTTTCTGGAAACGTATTGTGGAATTGATTGAATTGAACTTTAAAGAAAAAATTATATTAAACGAAGAATTATTAATTGCTGGTTTTGATTTCAAACATGCAAATGGAGCAGATATAAATACAATCGTTGCATATGCTCAATACGCAATCTATTTGATGTATATGTTAAATTATTTTCAAGGTAAACCATACAACAGCTTTTTCATATGGCATGTTTTTAAATACGAGTTACTCTTGGATAACATCTCGGATGTTGTTTCAGGGGCTCTCGGGACAAAGTATTTTTTTTTGGAGAGTTTTTGAGAGCTTTTGAAATAGCATCTGGGAACTAAGGAAAATCTTCGGGGATATTTTATATCACTGAAGATTTTCTCTTAATAGTTTAAGAAAATACTTAAAGTGAATGTAAAATTTTGTTATGATGTAATGATTTGTGTGTTGGTTATTTTTGTAAATGAATAAAGTACCTCTGACAAGAGGAAAATAAAAAAAAAAAGTAAATAGATTGAGAAACACATGAATAAATAAATATTCAATCTTTTACTCTTTTCTAACATTATATTTTGATAGAATCTATTGTTTAAAGCCCGTCTGCACTCGTTTGGCTAGGAGAAATTAGACCACCCTGCTGGTCACTAACATGTGGTTATCTCATCAACTCAGCTCTCAATTATGATAAGAAAAAGAGAATCATGGGGGACCAACGGGCACTGCTTAGGCATTGTTTCCTATATAGAGGAAGCAAGTTGCTACAAGTATTGCAGTCGGGCTTTAATAAATAACTTTTAATCTAAAAAAAATGAATAAATAAATAATCGATTTTGTATTCTATTCTAATGTCTCTTCTGTATTAGTGTGGGGATACGGGACTCTAGCAGTTTTCATCATCAGCCTGTTTGCGGTGCTCGGTGGGTTGTTCGTCCCTTGTATGTCAGAAGGTTTCTATGACAAGACCATACAAACAATGATAGCTTTAGCCGTAGCTACTCTGACTGGTGATGCTGTCTTACATCTTTTACCACAGGTAGGCAATAGACAGTTTATCCCTAAAAGGGATACATGTACACCACTCTTTTTTTTAATTTTTTTTTTAACTTGAGTCCTTTTCTTTGCTGACTGGTGATGCTGTCTTACATCTTTTACCCCAGGTAAGCAATAAGCAGTTTGTCCCTAAAAGGGATTTCACCACTCTTTCTTCATTTTACTTGAGCCCTTTTCTTTGCTGACTGGTAATGCTGTCTTACATCTTTTACCAAATGGTAATCAATGGGCAGTTTATCTCTAAAAATGGATTTCACCATCCTTTCTTGTTGTACTTGTGATACTGTCTTAGTCTACATCGTTTTACCACAGGTATAAGCAATGGGTATTGATATCTCGAGAGAGAAATGCACGTTTCTTTTGTTTCTTTTTATTGAGCCCTTTTGTTTGCTGACTGGTAATGCTTAAGATGGAATTGATTGTAAGTATGAAATATAGCGACGATATATATTGTTTAATGTTATGTACAATTAACAAATAAATTATTCATATACCCTTACCAAGTTTTGTCACTTTTTAAGCATGTGAACAATTGATTTGTCCAGATATATATATATATATATATATATATTTTTTTTTTTTGATGCCAAAGATCGAATCTAAGAGTATTTAACAAATGCCCTCATCTAACCAGTCCATCTTTCATTCTTGAAATACAAAGAAAAGAAAAGGGGGACAAAAAAAATCAAATCAAATTTAAAAGGTGTATAAATAATGTAGTTAACTGTATGTAACTTGTCTTATTATCTGTACTGAGAGATCTGATTTTTATTTTAGATTTTAGTAAAAGGGAGCTCTTAACCAGCGCAGCTGAATATATTTTGTATAAAAGCTGCGCTATATAAATTTATCATTATTATTATTATTATTATTAAATTGTTTTACTTCTATCAAGAAGTAGAAATCAAATTTCATGAAATGGTCAATGAATAATAATAATAATCTTTAAAGTCCACTCCAAATTTTATTAAACCGAAACGAAAATTCTGTTTTGCCCAATTGATCGTGAGCCCGGCAGCCACTGAGCAGCGCCAGATCGACGTTGCGCTCTATCCCTTATTATTGAACGCCGAACAAGGAAGCAACAACTCCCATCTTTTAACGCCTTTAAGTATGTATGACGCGGCCGGGGTTCGAACCCACGAACCTCCCGGTTGTGAGGCGGACGCTCTACTGACTGAGCCAACACACCGTACTTATTCATACTTAAACGTTTCTTTCTTTATCTCGTACAGGCCGTGGGTCTCCACACCCACGACAGCAGCGGTCACAGCGCTCATGCGCCTACGAGCCCGGAGATGGCGTATATCTGGAAGTGTCTTGTCGTCGAGATGGCCATTTACGTATTTTTCGTCTTCGAGCAGCTGACTAGTTTCACGAAGGTAGGCCGCCATTTTAAATCATGTGAATTCCAGAAGGCGCGCGATAGCTCAGTTGGTAGAGCAGGGGTCTCATTATCCGGCGACCCGGGTTCGAATCCAAGGCGCTATAGTGCCCTTCAGTAAGGCATTAATCCTCATTACCAGGTCTCTCGGAGAGGACCTAAAGCAGTCGGTCCTCTGGTTGCTTACTAACAAGCATTTATGCTTTCTTAGCAGTCAGTTAAAATAACCACCACTATACAAGAATCAATTGAACAGTCTTTCGATAGCTATGTTATTTATAATGAAAGCATAGAAAACAACATTAGTCCTCATTACCAGGTCTCTCGGAGAGGACCTAAAGCCGTCGGTCCTATGGTTGCTTACTAACAAGCATTTATGCTTTCTTAGCAGTCAGGTAAAATAACTACCACTGCAAGAATCAATTGAACAGTCTTCCAATACCTATATTTTTTATAATGAAAGCTTAACAAACAACAATAGTTATGACTTGCTTTGTCGCGAAAATGAAAGCAGATTAAACATCAAAAACACATAATGTGTCTTCTTCTTCGAACATATAGTGAGTTTCATGAAAGTAGGCCGCCATTTTAAACCAAAATTATGCGTTCTGAACTGTCTTAATTTCGATAGTTCTAAATTGCTTGGTCTGACTGAATAAGCAGATACAAAAAAAAAACAAAAAAAAAAAATCGGAGAAATATATTTGTGCGTTCTTCGTCTAGGAGCAACTTAAGAGTTTCATGAAGGTAATAATATTACTAAGAAGATCGATTAATATAACGCAGTTTCTATATTCTATTGTGATATTTTCATTTTGTTTACTTGAACATTTGGTGATATTTTGAATACGGTTTATGAACTACAAGATATATGTCAGACTTACAAAACTAGAAAATATTAATCAAACAGTTAAGAAACACGGACCCCTTCGTCCTCCTTATAAAAGAATCCTGAAAAGAAACTACGAATCCATTTTAATACCTTATTAGATTTACATGTGACAAACATTAACAACGCGTATTTGTTGACCAAAAAAAGAAAGGAAAAATATTTTAAAGCATGACTGCTTTGTTCGATGGTATAATAAACGGAAACCGAACACATTTAAGCAGAAATGAATATAAAACAGACTAATAACGAGTAAGAAACAAGCAACAAACAAATTCAAACATTAAACAAAAGCAGAGAACACTATGTACATTGAATTCTAGATTCATGAAGAAAATTATATTACGTAACAGTTAATTTGCGACCATATCGCGGTAATGTGCTATGTAGAAGGTTGAAAATCGTTGAGGAAAATCCTTATCGACCTTTGGTAGATCTACATACATTTTTACGAAAATTGATAATACTGCCTTTATTGGTTTTGATCAAATACTAGAATGGCTGTAAACCCCATTTATCAAAGCAAAATAACAAACACAAGAGTAAGCAAATACATGCAAGCATGAAAATAATCTGACAGTCGATGTTTCTAACATCGAATTGTGTGCGAATGTATTTTCTTTGCGTTCATAACCCTGTTGTGATCGTTTGTCATTATTTCCTTTTTATTACGACTTCCCAGTAACTTCTGTAACAACATTCATCCGTCAGCAACATTTGTTATCTTTAATCTAGATCTAAGGCCTTACTAATTATGAACGTGAAAAACAAATATCGAATAATCAAAAATGTACGTAACTTTGAAGCGTTTTCCTACCTTATATGAATTCCTCCATTATAATAATAATAATAATAATAATAATAGTGGCTACTTGTATAGCGCACAGGTCCACCTTTCGGTGCTCATGGCGCTTAGAAAAGAGTACATGTAACAGGCATAAGAAAGAGAAAACAATAAACCGAAAAACAAATTCGGAATTCTCCTAGACATAATCATGAAGAGAATAACAATCAATTTCACATAATCCATTTGTATAATTATAATCCAAGAGCTGTAATGAGAAATGGTTGGTACAATACTTAGGCTTACTATAATGATGTGTGTGAGAACAACGTGCATTTAATTACACGTTCTCAGTTTGTGGGAAATGAGAATAAACGAATCCAAATAATTAATTGAAGGGTGCCTCGTACCTTCTTCAAATCTCGTCATCCTCCCTTCCCCTTCTCTCTCTCCCTCTCTCTCCTCCCTCCTACCCACCCTCTCTATATCTCTCTCTCCCTCTCTCCCAATCTCTCTCTCTCTCCCTCTTCCTCTCTATTCTTTCGATACTAAAACATAATAATGTGATATTTCATCGTCATTGTCTATTATCAAATGATTACATTTTTTTTCTTTAAATGATTTTATTCACTTTTGACAGTGTGGTCACTCCCATCACAGCCATACACAATCGGCGGATGTAGAGATGACAGCTAACGGGCAACGAGGGCGTGCTATGTCGGGACAAGGATCTTTTGCTAATGGCAAAAACGGTCTATCTCTCTCAGAATCAAAGAGCGAACTAGTAAGCATCATTTTAACGCTTCTCTTTGCTTCTTGAATATACACGTTTGCAAGTGCATTAGTGGATGTGCACTGCACGCAGGGTAATGAACGAGACTTGTCGAGTTCATTGTTCGTCTCATGGTGACTTAACCAAGTGCAGTGCATACTACTAATGCACAAGCTAAAGAAATGTACTATTTGTTTCATAAGATGAGTATAAAGTCGAAAAGTTGATGGTTATTAAAGCCCATTGTCCTACTTGTAGCTATACTTGCTCCCTCTTTATAGAAAACTTCCCAAATCGGTGCATGTTGTTCCCCCATGATCCTCTTTTTCTCATGTTAGTTGAGAGCTGAGTTAATGAGAAAGCCACCTGTCAGTGACCTCGCTGTGGGGTCTAATCCCTTCTGGCCCAGTAGTATTGACGGTCTTTAAGATCGTTAGAAATTATTCTAAATTTGTCTCATTAACGGAGGACAACTACATGAACTATAGTGAATGGCCACAGCGGAACATCACAGTGAGTACGTGACACCTGGGGTGGTATTCTGAACATTGTTGTAAGTTTTGTGTTATCTTTTGTTGTATCTTCCAGAGATAACACAGCGCTAATATTGTTGTAAGTTGGTATTCTGAACATTGTTTTATCCCTGTGTTATCTCTTGAAGGACCGCCTCTATCTTATCTTTGACCATTGATGACACGCCCATTTTTATGGACCCTACCAATCAAAATCTATTTTATATAAACATGATAAGTAGATCAACCAATAGGAATACTTCATGCCATATCTGAAGATGCGCCTAGCGCATACTAATCTTGGGCGTAATTAGTTATTTGAGCACTTATTACGCGCGTCATCATTATGCGCTGTTTCGAATGTGGATCATGAAGACAAATCACGCTTTCACTATATTGGTTAAGATGAGAGCATTAAAATAGTCCTATCCTAGCATTTAATTTCTTAGAAAGTTCTCATCTTTGATGTTTCCGGTCAACACATTATCTTCTTCTAACTCGTCTATTGGCACAAAGTTGGTTCTGGGCAAGAAATATTGCCGCCATTATACCACCACGAAAGATACAACAACCCCCTACCTGTTGTAAATATTGTTGTAAATACCATGCAAGATAAGATAAGATAAAAGATACAACAACTTTCAGAATACCAATTATCTCGACAACTCCCGTGCGCATATGCAAATGAGGATTAAGCGCCATGTTATTACTAATAAGCACAATTACAAGCGCACCAAGCTATGAGCGCAGGCGCGGCCAATGAGATGAGAGAAAAGATACAACAAAAGATAACACAAAAGTTACAACAGTGTTCAGAATACCAACTTTATCTTATCTCCAAAGATACAACAATATTAGAGATAACACAGGGTTCAGAATACCGCCCCTGGGTCCTGTTTCACAAAACTTGTCATCAGTGACAAATTACAGTTTTTGTTATAAGCTAGTGAAATCCTTGCATCTGATTGGTTATCAGTAAATTTGTCACTGACTTTTTGTCAGTTGTCATTGAAAAAAGGCATTACAAAAGCAAATAATGTATTTCAGAACGGACATATAAATCAGGAAAACTAGACAGAGGGTGAGAAAAGTGGTGTTCAATTAATTATATCACCGTTTAAGAAGCATAAAACATTCTTCTTCTTTTTCCTGCAAATGTGACAAATTGATTACCTGAAAAACTGAACAATGTGTTGAGTCAAATACATCTATTTATCTATCTGTCTATCTTTGTTTCTTTCATCTATCTATCTATCTATTTATTTACCTATTCGTCGAATTTTCTATCTATCTATCTAATTTTCTATATATCTATCTATACATAACCTATTTATTTATCTATCTATATCATCTATCAAAGTGTATAATACAAAGTGTATATATCCTTTTCTTGAACATGATATTATTTATTTTTGGTGCTTGATAAATCTTTATAGATATTTATCACAACTATGAAATTTTAGATGGTTACCATTTCGTGTTTTTTTTTTCGTTTTTTTTTTCTTCTTCTTTTTACTTTTTTTCTTCAGTTATGAGTTATAAGTTTTTGATCGATCATCGGGTGGGTGGTACATGTACGACATTACTTATTATAGGCTCTGTATAAGCTTGGCTTGTTAGAACTCTTGTGAGTAATGTGCCGCGGGATTCCATATCCTTAAACTGCTGGCGAACAAAGCAACAAGACCAAGCTCTGTAATTATTAGGATCTCTGTCCAGTAGTGCCGTGTTTGTGCCATCTAACTGGATCGACCAAATCAATTGATTCATAATATATGTATATGCAATATTTTTTCCCGTAACTTGAGAGTAATTTTAATAGTTTCATACTATTAATTAAATATATTGTTAACTGTAACTGTATAATTGTTTTAAATGGGGGCACGCTACAAGACTCCTATCTCGCACCCCGGGGCAACGTGTCTGACACGGCCGGTTGTAGCAACTACTCCGAAGATCAAGATTACAGTAATCTTGATCTAAGGAGACACGAACGAACGAACGAACGGAGGACATCTATTATCCTCCAAAATCGACCGTCTTCCGAATACTTCTGCAGTCACACCGAAAAAATACCCTGACTTCAGTCCGATTCTCAACCAAACTGACTGTCTATTTGCCATTCATTCTAATGACATGTGTACATCGGTATGTTGTCATCTGTGACAAATGACAGTTTTTGTTATAAGCTACTGAAATCCTTGGTTCTGATTGGTTATCAGCAGATTTGTCACTGAATTTTGTCCTTTGTCATTAAAAAAAGGCTTAGTGAAACGGGTCCCTGGTTTGCCTGAATTACCCTATCACAATCATGCTTCGGTCATACCGCCAAATTGACGACAAACCGACCGATTTTCAGGGGGTGATTGTCCAGTGGGTAATTGTCCTGATACGGTATTTAGCAGCTCCACATAGTAACAGTGCAGTTTTTCGTAAGATACCAAAGTTTATCGTATCATTTTCTTCTCATTCATAGACAGCTAATGAGGTAAAGGCATTTGAAACTGAAACACCTCTCCCGACCGAAGATACTGATTGCTGTGTAAGGGGTAAGTTTTGAATTGCGTCACGCAAAGCCTGAAGCCACGAATGATGGTGGTGGTGGTGGTGGTTGTAGTAGTAGTAGTAGTAGGAGTAGTAGGAGTAGTAGTGGTAGTAGTAGTAGTAGTAGTAGTAGTAGTAATAGTAGTAGTAATAGCAGTACAGTATAATAAAAATAATAATTATTATTATTAGTAGTAGTAGTAGTGTTTATTAGTAGTAGTAGTAGGAGTAGTATTAATAGTACAGTCTAGTAGTAGTAGTACTATCAGTAGTAGTAGTATTCGTAGTCGTAGTCGTAGTAGTAGTAGTTGTAGTAGCAGACGTAGTAGTAGTAGTAGTAGTAGTACATATAGCTCCGTTTAGTCTCATTTCACAACGCCCCCTATCGTCAGAGTCAGCAGCCATACATGTTAGCCTATGGAATTGTACCCCCAAAAAAATCTTTAAAAATTCATTTTTTGTTTAAACGAAAAGCACATCCACCCCGACTTACGTTGTCACTAGCTCTTTCATTGGAACCCTCATGTCCCATTGACTTTTGGAAGTTCACCCACCGTAATTTGATCAAAATAGGTTGCAAGCTCGTCATTGCCTATAATACACATGTGAAACAAGTCGAACTTTGGACTCAGTTTGCCAAGCGATTTTAAGATTATAAGTCAAGCACACGAAGGATAAGAAGCATGATTTATCATAGATCACTTCTGCTTGGTTCATTATGTCCATTTCATCCAACCCCCACCGTAATTTGTCCATTTAGTAAAAGCAAAAATTTTGCCGAGGTAAGCAAAAACATAAATATTCATGAACGGTCAGGCAATACAGCCTTTTAGTACGTAACGTATAGTGAATGGTAATGGGCGATGATCCGTCCAGGAGGTAGAGTTCAGTGGTTTGCGCTGGCAATGTTCATGCGAGCGAAAATGAGACAATCGGAGCAATATGGTAGTAGTTGTAGTAGTAGTAGTAATAGTAGTAGAAGTAGTAGTTGTAGTAGTAGCAGCAGCAGCAGCAGCAGTAGTAGTAGTAGTAGTAGTAGTAGTAGTAGTTTATGAAAATCATGAAGGGACTCTTTAATACTAAACAAAAACTCCCAGGTTATCATTTGATCATATTTTAGTTCGAATGTATAATAAGTATTTGTATTGCTCATCTCTCCATAATCTTGGCCAAAATTATATTCACACTATGAAGCCTAAGATCCTATTTTAGTACTGATATTATTTGTATTTCGACTGTTCAATGACACTATTAGGTATTTTAAGTATCCTTTGTATATAAGGGTACATTTTTTTTGTATCATTCATCTCTCCATACCTTTGGTTTCAATCGAATATTATTGAATTTCATTACTACGAGCCTACCATTATTTTTAGTCCTTGTCTATTTTTTTTTTTTATTTCTTTGACTGTTTATGATTCTGTTTTCTTCTTCTTCCTTCAAGGCTGCAATCCGGTAGCAATGATGATAATCCTGGGCGACTCGTTGCATAACTTCGGTGACGGTCTGGCGATAGGGGCAGCATTCTCCCTGAGCATCGCTGCCGGACTCTCAACTAGTATAGCTGTCCTCTGCCACGAGCTCCCGCACGAACTAGGTAACGAACCTCGTCTACCACTGATGATGGGGATGATGGTGGTGATGATGGTGATGATGATGGTGATGATGGTGTTGATGATGGTGATGGGAAGGAAAAGGAGGAGGATCGAGGAGGAGAAGGAGGATATGGTGATGATGATGAAATAATGGGGTTGAGTTGATGACGATGGTGAAATAATGCTAAAAATAGTGTTGATGATGATGTTGGTTGTGATGATGAAGAGGAAAAGGAGAAGGAAGATATGGTGATGATGATGATGAAAAAGTAGGGTTTGAGATGATGACGATGGTGAAATAATGCTTATTATGGTGGTTGTGATTATTGATGAGAGGGTAAGGTAACACCCTTAGTGTGACCAGTGGTCTTCCAAAAAGTACAAATGTCTTTTGCCACGAACTGCCGCACGAACCAAGTATTGATGCATGTTGACGATGGTGGTGAAGATGATATTGATGATGCTGATGTTGGTGGTTGTGGTGGTGGTGGTGGTGGTGGTGATGGTGATAATGATGATGATGATGATGATGATGGTGATGAAATGATTTTGATAATGATGATTACGATGATGATGATGATGATGGTGTTGATGGTATTGACAATTTTGATAGTGAGGATGGTAGCTAGAATGAGGATGATAATAATGTGATTTTAATGATGATTATAATGGCGAATTTGATGATGACCATGATGATAGTGGTTGTGGTGATGGTCGTACAGTTAACCACATTTACACTCTGGACTCAACAAGTATATAACTGTTCTCGATCTGGCGTTCAACAATTAGGAATAGAGCAATGTCGGTCTGGCGCTGCTCACTGGCTGCCGGGCCCATGATCATTTGGGCAAAAAGATTTTCCATTTTCGGTTTAACTTAATAAAATTTGGAGTGGACTTTAAAATATTCGTATTAGTATTAAGAACTAAGTATATAAACCTCGTTTTCCAGTGAAGAAGGGGGTGATGATAATGATGATGATGGTGATGATGATTATGATGATGATGAATGATAACGATGATGTTCATTGTGAAGGAGAGGACGATGCTGGTGATGATTACGATAATGGCAAGGGGGTTGGTAATGATTGTGATAGTTAAGATGGTTATGATAATAAGGACAATGGCTAAAATGATAATGTGAAAAATAGTGGTGGTGGTGGTGATGATGATGACGTCGATGGTGTAAACAATTGATGATGGGGAGGAGGGGAAGGATCGAGATGATAAGTGTAATTTAGCTGATGGTGAAGGTGATGACGATGATGACGATGATGAAAATGATAAACAGGCCTATTGATGATGATGGTGATGATGGTGACGATAAAAATGATTGTGATGTGGTCAATGTAAGTGATGACGATAATGATAAAAACCTGCCAATCACCAATCATGAATACTATGCAACTCGAGAAATACTATTGATGTCCAATTACATGTTTGCGTACAGTGAATTTAATGCTACACTGTACTACTAGTAGCTACTTGCTCCCTCTATCTATATACAATGCCTAATCGGTGACCATTGGTCCCCCGTGTTCCCTTTTTCTGTTGTTAATTGAGAGCTGAGTTGATGAGATAGCCACCTGTCAGTGACCACCCTGGGTAGTCTAATCCCTCCTTATCAATCTATTGCAGCCGGCCTTTAAAATGAATTGTTCGACTCTATTCTAATTTGTTCCCTCTAGGTGATTTGGCCGTACTCATGAAGCAGGGCATGCGACTCCGAACGGCACTCCTGCTGAATATGATGTGCGCTTGTTCGGCATTCATCGGCTTGTGGATCGGGATCCCGCTCGGACAGACCGAGACGGCTCGGGAATGGATTTTCGCTTCTGTCGCTGGCATGTTTCTCTACGTTGGACTCGTCGACATGGTAAGAAGCAGCTGCACGAACTTCCCCGAAGTTGTCCCGATGAACTTACCGAATCGTCCCAAAGATATGTTTATATTTTTCGCAAATTTGATATCAGGGTTAAACACAAATATAATTATATATAAAGCGATGGGACCAGCAAAATCACCTTGTTATAGCAGATCTCCTGTTTTATCATTGCTTCTTATAAGAAGGTTCCATCGTATAACAGAAAGTATCCCTTTTTCTCATCATTTTCAGCTTCCGATGCTACACCAATACGACGGAAAAAGCAACAAGGTCACCGTGGCTATTCTGCAGAATATTGGATTCTTGGCGGGAATTGGGATTATTCTGTTAATAGCACTGTATGAGGACGCTATTGAATTATCCTTATAGGGGAACGTGAGCCGTGAGGGGGTGGGAGGGAGGAAAGGAGGGTCAGAGTGGAGGGGTCAAGCTCGCTATCAATAAGGACCGCTATTCGTAAGGACCGCTATTTATAAGGACCGCTATCCATAGCGCGGGACTGAATGAATAGCACTCTTTTATAAATAGCGGTCCTTATAAATAGCGAGCAGACCGCGGGTTGAGAGATACATATAGGAAGGATAACATAATGTGTGTGTGTGTGTGTGTGTGTGTGTGTGTGAGAGAGAGAGAGATGGAGGGGGGGGGGCACCAACACTACCCAACACTACCCTTATTCCAGTGCTAAGAACTCTTTGTAAACAGAAAAACCTTAAGGGGAATTCCAACCTACAGACAACTACTCTAAAAGAAAGCAGACAAATCAAGGAAGCAAACTGATGAAAGTTTAAATTAAATACGACTAAAAATAAGAAAATTATGACTTTTGTTGTTGTAAAGTAATCACTTTACGTTACGTATGGGCACTTCGAATTGGCTGAGGCGGTAATGTAAATGTGATGTAGTGCTGGACTACTTTCCCATGTTCTAACATTATAAAATGACTAAAATGTGAAAATGTATTACACAGGATGGTCTCTTCTTTTTAGAGGACTTTTACTAATATGTTATTTATAATAAATTTTGAGTAGTGACCCAAGAAGAAAAAACAGAAATGAATGATATTTGTGTACACGAAAAATTGTAGAGTTATCCAAGTCCTGCGTCACATCCACTGGCCGAATTACCAAGTTCACATTCGCATAGGCTTAGTGATCTCACATTTCAAACATTCCTAACTTCCCTAGTATTGGTCTGATTCATTGCAAACTTTTGCTATTCTGTTTCTGTTATTTTTCTACTTTCATACGAATCAACTTATTACAAGGGTTGGCTTGCCCTTTAATATAAATACATACGAAATTATACCCCCAAAAAATTGTTATAATATTTTTCCAAATGGTGTAAAGAATGTATGCAGAAAAATTATTGTTTAAATATGAAGAAGATATGATTCATGTGTAAATGCGGGAATATTATGACCTTGTTTGCATACATTACCATAAATATGCAAATGAGTGATTGTTTCTCAAAATAAAAATTACTATAGTGTTATATACACTTCACCGGCCGTAGAAAGACCTCAAATACCCCGGTCTCATTGGGATTAAAATGGTAATTCTAGAGGTTGTATCATTGAATCAATACATATTATGATTGCATTCAAAACGAAGCGGATATCTTACTGAACACATAAATGCTTGCAATTTCTATTCACATCGATTTATATGGACGCTTTTCTTGTGATATGCAATCAATTGTTTATTTTATACTATTAGCATCAATTAAAGTCTCTGTTCAATTCACAACGAAGAAAGTCGAACGATAAATTTACAGAACTTGAGAGAAAGTTAGACTAAATGCATCAGCATGGTATTAAGAGGTAGGAGGAAAGAGTGAGAGAGAAACAGAATGGGGGAGAGACAGAGAGAGCGTGGGAGAGAGAGAGCGAAAATTCAATAGAGTAAAAGAGAGAGAGAGAGAGGGGGGGGGGGAGGGGGGAGTTAAAAAAAAAAAAGTAGTGGTAATGATTGTAAATAAATCCCACAAAATCCCAAGAAAACTTACACTAAATGTCAAAGATAAATAAGTGGCATGCGCCAAACGATTTCGGTAGAAAATGTATAGTGGCTGAGTAATGAGCTTTGAAAGATAAGGAAGGCTCGACACCAAGTGCTTAAGATGAGGAAATCCGGGTATGTAGGCCTAACACCATGTGCTTAACACAGGTCCTTATGCGCAATTGAGAGTTGTGGTTTTTTGAAAAAGATAATTAACATCAAATTGTTGTGAGGTTATTTTTATTTTACTGGTTAAAACAATCAATCTACTGCAGGATAAACAATGAGAATGAATTATAGCCATTTTCTCTTGACATACGATACCCACACCCAGACCTCAAGATTAATGTACATGTAGCTTTACAACCTGAATAACACAACAATGACGAGAAAAATACATTTTTAAGGAAAATCTTTATTGTACAGAATTATTCTCATATTCACTTGTACATAACACAACAACACAATGAGGGTTGTTGCAAAAGAGCATAAGTAATTTAGAATTACAAGTGATGGTCAAGAATTTGTACTAAAAATAATCTCTTTAATAAAAATAAATACTGTGTGTACGTAGTTTATCAAGGTGGCAAGAGTGCAATGATTTACAACAAAACTGATGAATTAATGAATAAATGTGATTGTAATTATCCGCCCTTTAGCACTGTTGCAATTGCAGTGATCTAGCATTAATTAAGGAATTACAAGTCTTGCTGACCATTTACCGCACAAGGGGGTGTTTAACAAATATATTGAGTCAAACTTAACTCTAAGTTCGATTAAAATTAAACATATTAAAAAACATCAATTCAAGTATTTTAGACTTTTCATAAATTCCACATCAAGAACATGACATTTCCTTGATAAAAGAAATTATGAAAGATTTAAATCAACATTTTATGCCTTTTAAAATAACTTTTACAAAATATTTTTTAAGATGCTTACGGCTTTCCATAGTTCTTAAGTCCAACTTAGAGTTCAATTCGACTTAGGATCTTTGTTAAACACCCCCCCCCGGGTGTAGAGAGGCAAACTATAGATGCCCCTCAAGATCTTGACCCCGTTTCATAAAACTACTTATCAATAACGAGATGCAATGATTGTTTAATGAGATACTGAAATCATTGCATTTGATTGGCTAAGAGCAGATTGGTCATAGATCTGTGGCAGATGTTATTGATAACAAGTTTAATGAAACAGGGCCCTGACCTACCTCGGGTGAAATGTTCTTAATGCACACATTTTCAAGACACATTGATCGACAGATTTCATCAAGCCAAGCAATTTCTTCCGTTTATTCCCCGTTTGTGCTTCCCTTCCCAAGAAAAGTGAACAGCGTCCTGTTGTTAGTCAAACGGGCATTAATGAACAGTTCATCAGCTCTGCAAGATACATACATGACCCAAGTTTGGCAGGAATCTATTGATCGGTTCTTGAGATAACGCGATCATGAGAATGGGACAGATGGACAACCCGAAAACATAATGCCTCTGCTATACTTCCTAACAGCGGCATGAAAAGAGAAGAATGTCCAGTGACCCATAGAAAGTTACTTTAGAGAAAAAGGTGTTAAAACTCTATAGAAATTGGTATGAAGTGATAATCAGTTTGTCCTCAATACTTGACATACTAATTAAGCACGTCCTCTTTTTAATTCTTCTTAGGAATCAATGTAATACCTTATTCTGTTTTAAAGTTACTTGAGATCCAAATGAGACCATTTAGCAATGGTTGTAAATAAATAAAAACTACTACAACTAAGATATCAGAAAAACGTACATGAAGATTTACAAAATACTGCCAAAATACCAAGTGCGTTGAAATTGTTTCGTGCTTCCAAAGTTTGAAATTACATATAAATAAGGTGTACTTTTTCAGGAAATGCTGACCAAATACACCTTTACTGAGCTCAAAAAAAAAAAAAATTGTGGTGCAGGGTCACATATCTTTCAGTTCATGGCATTCATCTCAGATTGATCTCAGATTAGAATGGTGTGATATCAGTCCACAACATGCAAGATTACCGTCACTCAAAACTGATGCCCTATCTCCAGGAAAGATTGTATTACTTGATATTACGTATTAGTATTAGCTTTACATCGACTCTTTTAGTCATTGTTGACTCAGTTTGAGAAATTGAGTGTGCTAGTACTTAGTAGATACATTACATTACTCAATACATATTACAACATGGAAATGAACGTATGGGAAAATGCATTGAGTGCATCTAGACCATTAATGCATACTGGGTAATTTTTTCGCTGTGCAATTACCCTTATCCATATCTTGTTAAAGATAAAATACAAATAGTGCATAATATGAAGTTAAAACCTACTATTTACACATAAATCATGGTAAAAACGTCTCGTCATAATCGTCTTCAATCAAAGGGTTAACTTTGTATACCGCGCGCCAAAGCCAGTAGAAGGAAATTCACGACGTAATTGACGATGAAACCAGCCAGGCGTGAACCTCGTCGTGAATTCTATCGCCAATTATTCACGACGAAATTGACGATATCGTGAATTTCGTCGTGAATAATTGGCGTTTTCGTCTATTCGCGATGTCCCTTCAGGACCACCATATCTACGAGTAATGCAAAAAGAACAGATGAAATTGACAAATGTTTGACGCCTCTGCAAGGTTTACACAAAGCAATAAATACCAAGTCCTAAGGTCGAAATTGATGATTCGGTGGGCGTGGCTTGACGTTCCGAAAAATCAACAAAGTAGGATTGATGCAGACTTAGTCAATAAAAGACTGTTTGCAGTATGCTTTATTGACATGTATTATAGATATGTCTCCGAGCGTCTTCACGCCGCCTGCACACGACACGTACTACACGTAACAGTTGCATGTAACACACCCATAGGCGCACAGTACAGAAAAAGTTCTTCATTCAAAATGGCGTACCTACGTACCGTGTGCACCGGAATTCTCTTTCTCGCCATCCTGACAAACTTTCTTGCAATCACGGTCGCGAGCTTGACCAGGGAATCGAGGGAAATACACGATCACGACAATGATGATGACTACGTGGAAATTGGAAATTATCTTTTGGAGGTTGAGCTGGCAGGCATGAGAGAAGAATTCGATTTTTTGAACAACCCGGAACAGAATGTAACGTTTGATCAAGTTGTTAGTTTGGTCGAAATAGTTTTCGGACGAATCGATTGTGAGCAACGGGTCGATAACTGTTCTAAGGTAAAACAAAAACAATTTAGTTAACATAGTCATTAGGTTTTTTTACTCATTATTCACGTTCTTAACTTTTATTTCAGTTTACGAAAACGGGGTTTCTCGTCAGTCAATCAACTGCTGTAACAGAAAAATACAAAATAAACATAACAGATAATCTTAAAGTTCAGCAAGACGAAACAAATATTTAACAATTAAATCAAGGCACATCAAAATTCTGGTGAGTTATATTCGAATGAAAGTGAAATGGGGAGAGATATTGACAGACAGATAGATAGAGGGTGGGATATTCATGGAGAGAAAAATGAATACGATTGAAGGAAAGGTGAATGTAAAAGAATGTAGTTATATCAAAGAAAGATAGAGAGAGAACAAAAAATGAAGCAAAGAGATTGAGGGATAGAGAACAAATGGAAAAAGAAAGAAACTACCTTATAAACAACAAAATGAAGGTAAAAAAAACACATGAAACTACGATACAATACGATAAATACTTTTAAAAAACAGGCTGTTTAAAACTTAACACAGACAAACATGGTAACTGAAATCCCGATGAATCTTATTCTCAGGGACACCTTGATCTAAATC